CGCTGTCTCCGCAGGGACGAGCCGGAGCCGCGGCCGGAGCGGCCCGTGGCGCACCACGGCCGGGCGCTGGCGGTGAAGGCGGCGGCGCTGGACAAGGCGGGGCAGACGCAGCGGGCGCAGCGGGCCAAGCAGCTGGCGGAGCGGCACCGCCTGGGCCAGAAGGCGCTGCAGCGGCAGAACCGGGCCCGGCAGCGCCCGCCCCGCCGCGCCAAACAGCTCCCCGGGGCCTTCGTCCACCAGCCCTGCCAGCGCCACTGCAACTACTGACCTCGCTGCCCCGCCCGGGGCTCCGGAGCGCGGCCCCCACGGACACCGGGGACGCGGCGGCGGCTGCGCTCCACACCCCGCGGCCGCACTTCTGGCCCGCACTCCTCATCTTCCTCCTGCCGCCCTCCCCGCGCCCCTCACCGCCCACCCTCGATGCCGTCTGGGCCCAGCCCCTGGAGCCGCCGGTATGGAGGGCCGTGCCATCCCKCCCGGACAACCTGGCCGGTATTCCCGGTGAAATCACCTGCTCCCGAAATCCACCTGTTCCCGGTGAAGCCTGTTTGTCCTGATAAGCCTGTGACATCAGTGCCTTTCCTTACATGACTCCATGTACAGCCTGGCTGGGATGTCACAGAGACACCGAGCGGGAGTGACAAGAGCAATGAAGCCACAAGATTTGGGATTTTAAGGAAAATCTCATCAATGACACTAAATAATGCTTCTGCCCTGCAAAACCAGCAAACACTCCTCTCCCTCCTTGATTTCTTAGCTACATTTTTACCATGATAACCATAACCCCCCACTGCCAGTCCCCAAGGGGCTCATGATCTAAAGCGCTGGTGGAATCTCCGTGGCTGGGTCAGCCAGGCGGCTCCTGGTACCTCACGGTGTTTTTTTTTTAAATCAACCTTAAAAGGAATCTCAGGAATCAAAGCACTGTCCCAGCGCCACGCCAGAACCCTCGGCTGCCATGCCAGGAGGAGTGGCCAGCCTGGGGTGGCATCACCATGGCTGRTGGTGCCATCTGAGTGAGCTCCTTCCTCCTGGAGGCAGTCACCAGCCCCAGGCACGCCTGTATCCCTGAGGATACACCTGTAAATGTGTGTGTATATATTGCTCTCTGTACCTTTATACTCAGAAGAGGCACTGTTAAGCCAAGGAGTGTTGTCTGCCAGGTGTCAGCCCTGGAAGAGGAGAGGTGGCACAAGGTGCCAAGAGGTGGCCAAAGCACGTCGACAGTGGTGGTGAAGCGATGCTGAAGAGGAGGCTGGAGGGAAGAGGCTGAAGKAAGGACAAAGATTAACCTGGGAGCCACAGCAATGGGTCAGGATGGGGCAGGCCTGAGTGAGAGGATTGCTGTAATGGGAGCTCTAACAGAAGCATCTTCTTTCTTCACTAAAAATTGCTTCCTTTCCCATGAAGGGCCAAATTCCACCGCAAGGCAATGCTAATTTTTAATGCAAATCCCTCCCCTCTGTGTGATGGACTCCTGCCTTTGGAAGAACATGGTCCAGACTTTTCACTGGCTTCAGCACCAGCTGAGATAGTGCCAGACCCAGCAGAAATTTGCTGATTCCCCACCCATCAGCTCCCTCCTTTTAGGAACTGGTTTTGCACCCTGTGCCCTGGGAAAGAGTCCTGCTCACGGCCAGCTCACAGCCTGGATTCTCACCCTCTGAGACAAGAAATAGCCCCACAACCTCCCAGAAAAGTCTAATTTCCCAGATTCTTCCACTCACCATGTTGCATCCCTTAATATCAGCCAGGGGCCTCAGCTGAAGGAATTGTGGTGACCACAACTGCAGACAGCTGATAATTATTAATTATTTTAATGGGATTAAAAACAAAATGACCCCTCCTAGGAGCAACAGCCCCCAGCTCCGGGCTAGGGAACCTGGACCGCAGTAGCTGGATGCTGCTGCTCACCTGCAGCATTTCCCCCCTTCTCCACTGCCTCAGCATTCCCAAAATGAGAGCTGGGGAAGGAACTCCCTGCCCTTGGCATCGCCCTGCCCTCCTTGGGCCTCCCTGTGTCCTCTGTCCCTCAGCGAGCCTGGGACTACACTGCAGATCAGCCTGTCCCATCTCCAGTGTGTTCTTGGTGAAGAGACTGACATCTCCTGACTCCAGGGGAGTGTTTACATCCTTTGGCTTCCTGGGCTTCACACTAAATGCCTTTTTCCCCCTGCAGTGGTGCCTGGAGTGGACCGGGAGCAGGGCCTGTTTGGGGACACTAGCACAGGTGCTTGTGACACAGGCAGGGGCTGGGCCCGAGCTCCCGGGTGTCCGATGTGGTGCTGCCTCCCCATCCCGCTCTTCCTGCAGCGCCTGCAGGAGCTGCTCTGCGCCCCTGGGCACCAGAAAGAGGAACCACTTTCTCTCCAGCCCCAAAACCCATCATGAAGTGGAGAAGCCAAGCATTGTCCAGCCCCCAGCCCCTCCACTGCCAATTCTCCTGCACATCTGGGTTGTGCCAGTCCCTCCGGAGCACTCCAGAAATCAGAGGCTGCCAGCGAGCCCTCTGTCCCCTTGGCAGCTCCAGAGGATCCAGCTGGGGGATCCCTGTGCCTGCCCCACTGCTGGAAATGGTACCCAGGAGAAATCCCTCATGGAAACCCTCCTGTGCATCCTGCTCACTTGCTGAGAGCCAGAAGCCCTTGGCCATGTTCCTGGGGGCCGTGGCTCAGCCTGGCWCTGCCACCAGCACCCAGCTCCCTGTGCCCACTTTGAACAGGCAATGTTATTCCTCCGTCCTGGTTTTCAGAAGCAAATTCAAACTGTTTTCTTTTCCATTCTTTCCGTGCCGGTTTGAGATGTCTCTCATCACACTGTGCCCAGCCAGCACAGGATATGAAGCAGAACTGTTATCACACTTTATATCCAGAGTATGTTTATAAAGGATTAATAAATTATTAATAATGTTTTCATGAAGAGGTTAATCCAGAGCCCGAGCCTCTGGCAGAGTGCACAAACCATAGCAAAGGAGCTCCTGCAGCTCCCCTCTGTTGTTTGCACTCCTGCCATGTGTTAACACCTAATGCTCACCTGCCACCCCTGGCAAAGTGACTGTCACACCCAGTGTGACCCACCCTCCCTGGGCTGTGGCAAAGATGTGTTCAACCCGTGCTTTGCAGAAGCCCTGCAATGCTCTGCTCTTGCCCAGSAGCAAGCACACAGCCTGGCTTGGTCCCCAGCCTCCTGCCCAGTGCTGCCAGAGAAAGAAAAMCCCTTTTCMCTGAGGTTCTTTGTCTCCTCGAATCTTAAAACAAATGAAAGGTGCTTAAAAACTGAGAACTTCCTGTGTGCACCCATGTGCATGTGTAGATATTTCACACCCACCCAGCGTGGATGTTCAGTAGCTTGTTTGGGGGTGTGGGTTTGTTGGGTTTGTGAATTTTTTAGGGGGTTGTTGGTTTTTTGGTTTTTTTTTTGCACTCAGTATATGTGATGCACTGCGTGGTGCTCCCGATGGGAAGGCGCTTGTTTGCAGGGAGCTCTGGGGCTGGCCCTGCTGGGACAGCTGGGATGAATTTTGCTTTCTTTTCCATATTTGTGTAGGGGGAAACTATAGCATGGACTCAGGGACAAACCAATCTGCTAGGGTCTTGAAMAATGTCTTTTTCCCAGGTTCTCTGTTGGAATATGGGTTTGGTTCTGGAGTGCTGCAGGGGTGTAGCCTGTGGCAGCACATGGTGGTGAGAGGAGATGCAGGGAGCTCTGACACTCCTGCATGGAAAAGTTGTGGCCGTTCATGGTGGGATCACTCCTGGGCTGCAGCCCCTCTTCCTTTATTCGTGCCCTGCAAATTCACCTTTACAGCTGTTGGAATTGGCTGGTCCCTTTTCAGCCTTGCTTGTRAACAAGCAAATACGGATTTTCAGCACTGAGCCCCCGAGGGTTTGGGAAGTGCAGTAGAGCTGTGTTTTATGKCCTGACCCACCACATCACTGGGATCAGGGATACAGCCAGGATGGGGGAAGCCATCAGAATAATCACCTGGAGAAATGGTGGTGTGGGTGACTGAAAAAAATTWTGTATTTCTTGCAATGAAAGCATAAGAAAGGGAAGAATTCCCAGTGGAAAGACCTGGGCAAATCCCTGTTCAGTAAATGCCAGCCTTGCTGGGCAGTGTGGCAGTGCTGGGCTCAGACACCTGAGCTGTCTCCCAGCCCCGTACTGGAATCGCAGGCTTGGGGCAGGGGGGCACTGGGACAGACTGGAGCARTGCCCAGCGATGGCTGGAGCTCATGGAGACAGCAGACCCTCTGTGGAGGGAAGGATCTTTCCACCGCTGAGGCCCCCATGGTGCAGGGATCTTCTCCAAGCAAGATTTTAATCTCTTTGCCTTGTTCTGCTCTGGCTGCCCCTGACGCGAGGGATCAACCCCTGTAGTGTGAAAGGACGAGGAGGGGCAACCCTGCTGGAGAAGTGCCACCTCTTGGGATGCACCAGGAGCTCCCAGTGTCCCCGGCCCCCAAGGCTGCACTCACTGCACTGGGCAAGGCCAGGCTGTGGCCACAGCACCCTTAGGACCCCTGGCCGGCAGCCACGCCAAAGTCCTGGCACTGAATTCTGGCTCTGGCTTGGCACTGCAAGGCTGGGGGCTGCCAAGAGAGCAGGGGCAAAAGTCTTCCTCCCCTGTTGCTCTTAAACTTGCACTCACAAATGCGCTTTCCAAAAAAACTGCTGCAAAAGCTTGGTCTGGAAGGAAAATTGTTCTTTCTGTGGGAGGTGGCATTTCCTTCTCATTGTGGATGACAAATGCGTGGCTCATCCCAAAGATCACTGCTGTGGGAATCTTCTCTCTTTAGGCATGTTTCTAATCAATAATTTTACATTTACATCATACTCATACTTTCTTCTCTTCTGTCCAGCACTACTGGGGAGCTAAACACCCACTTAGATGTCTTACCATACCAGTAAGAAAAAAAAGAGGAAAAAATACTCCAGTGAGGTTCTAAGCTTGAGTCCCACAGCTTTGCAGTTGCCCCTCTGGATCAGTATCAATTCCATTGCCCTGCATAAAATAGAAATTGAACTTCATGCAAATTTGTTGAAAAATAAGTGAGTCTCCAAAGATCAAACATCTAATAATTAGGGAACAGTAAGAAAACRTAAGTCATGTCAAGTCAAGAGAAATGGTTCTCAGCACCTGCCAGAAGGTGCCACTGGGCTCCACTGGAATGAGTGATGGCAGTCCTTGAGTCTTCCCTGAGTGTCCAGGTGAAAACAAGAGGCCATCCCTGTCCAGCTGGTGCCATGGGGACTCTTGAGCCATTGGGGTTTGTCAGCTGCCACCACTCGCACAGGATTGATGTGCCTTCAGTTTGCTGCTCCTCCTTTGCTGCGTGCACTCACAAACAGCTGCTGGTGGCAGGAGGGATGCACCAGCACCCTCCAGRTTCTCAGAGCTTCCCCCAGGCCCTTCTCCAGCTGCCCAGGGGCCTCCTCAGCACAGCTGCTGGGACCGGAGCCTGAGGCAGGACATTCCCACGGGACTGCCATGGTCAAATCCACCAGGGACAGGAACAACCTTAAAAGGGGCTGATCCCCTCAGGGCTTGTCTTCTTCAGGATGGAAAACATCTTTCCATCTCTCAGATCTGCACCATACAAAGTCAATAATCTCCTGTTGTCCTCGTGGGCTCTGTCCTCATCCCATTCCTGTCACTGCAGTGGCTGCTATGGGTCACCTGAATGTGGCTGTAGAGCTGCAGGCAGAGTTTGAGAGGCTCTGCCTGCCTGAAGAGTGTGTCCTTTGGTGAGAGGTGTCCTCAGACTTGTTGGAGATGTCGCCCTTCCCTCACTGGGATCCCAGAGCACTCCCTGGCTGCGGGCTCTGCACTGCTGGACATGGTTGGGCAGGAGGTCYTCCTGTTCCAGGCTGTCCATCAATGCATCCTCCATCTACCTTTCTTTCTGCTTCTTGAAAACATTTGTCATTAACTAAAYGAGTAACTGTCTCCTTAGAGGAATGAGGATGATGAGGATGAGCAGCTCTGTTTAATAGCAAAGGTGGCTTTTAGGTGTGCTCATCTTTTCAGTTCTTCTGTGCAGAGTGGTGACACCCARGTGGCTCATTCTGAGCTGACACTTCCTGGGCTGGCAAGGGGGTTGCTTTTTCAACCCCATATTTTATACAGGGATACTGCCCCATRCTTCAGAGCACAAAAAGAGCTGCAAAGCTTTGACTGTTGCAGCTAAATCTGAAAATCCTTCTGCYTTCCACTCTGACCCTATTTCATTGCATGGGCAGCGGGGGGAACATTTTATTCTCTGCAAATGGAGGGGAAAACAATGCAGTAAATTCTAAGTGTAGCTTAAAAATGGGTTGCACAGGGGAGCCCAAAGTTCCTCTGCTCTTTCACATTGACCTTATGTATCCTTGCTGGGGAAGCCACGAGCAGCTGTGCCCAGTTCTCAATGAAATTTTCTCTTCAGCTTCATGCTTCAGAGAGACTGGGGATGAGGGAGTAGCACAAGGTGACACAACAAACCAGTGACATTTCCTCCTGTATCACAACTGTAGCTGTACAGAGCCACCGAGGCTGCAATATTCTATCTGTAGGTATCCACCCCAGGCATCCACTTGTAAAACTCATGCCCATGCATCGCCCACCCCCGTGCTGGACTGACTGCACATGTGCCTTCACCCTTTTTCATGGTTTGGCATCTTTTTCAAACACAATTACAGAACTTGAATAAATCACTCAACTGCAGTTACAAGTCCTATGCAAGAGGTGATCAGGATGTTAGTTTTCRCTATTTCTGTGTTTCTGTGTTGTTTTCGAAGTCACCACAGGGTTTTTCAGAGAAGTCCAACAGAATGAGTGCCCCAAAAAGCATTGAAGTTTTGGTTTGTTTTTTTTTTGTTTGTTTGTTTGTTGGGGTTTTTTTTTGTTTGTTTGTTTGTTTTTTGTTAAAAAGCATTTAGCTTCTCTTAGGCAGCTTTGAAAAGCTCAGCCTAAACCCCAGTTGCTCACCAGGGCGTGTCTGCGAGCGAGTAGGAGCAGGAGCAGGAGCAGCAGGAAGGATGAGCGCCAGGACAGATGGCCTGTTCCATGGCTGGAAAAGGTTGCCTTAAGCCTTCCCTAAAACGCACCGGAGAACATTGCTGTGCCATTCCACCCCGCGCCGTGGGCAGCCTGGTGTGGAGCCGCTCCCATCGTGGGCTCTGCTGGACGCCTTAGCCGGGGCACAGCCACCATTTGGGGATCTTGGGAAGAGGGTAAAACCAGCCCCACGTTTTCTACATCAACTATGCTGTAGGACTGAGACCTCGTCTGAAACTCGAAGCTAACAAAATCAGTCCTTTTTGTGTGTTCTGTGTTCAGTTGGTGTAAGCAGGGTTCGTAGGGAAGGCTGTCTCCTCCTCGTAGGACGTTGTGTAAACACTTGCCATATGTCGACAGACTGAAGGACATGACTGCCTGGGATACGTTGTGTAGTGTGCCTGTGTGTGTGTAACCTGGTTTTGCTTGTTAGGTTGTAATGCTGTCTCTTGACTGAAAAAAAAAAATCTAATATAAATCACAAGAAATAAAAAAWTATGTCTTTAAAATCTATTTTACGTGTATTCCTCTAAAGTCTGCASGTCAATCTGTCTGCAAAATGCTTTAGTTTTTTTAAAAAGCTTTTAAAAGTTAATCGTGTAAGAGACAAGTAACAGAAAAATGYCCCCTTTGAAGCAAGGACACACAGGAGAGGGGTTGGCACAGGCTGAGGGGTTGGAGAGGATTTTTTTCCCAATTACCAAACCCTACAACTCAGCAAATGATGACAGATCTAAAGCAGATGTTGATTGTTCTGAGAAATCCCTGATCAGCCAATCTCTGCAACATCAGCTGTTTCTCCAAGCACAGTGTGAGCTGTTCCCAGCACCCAAGAGAGGCAGAGATGTCTCCAAGGTAGTTTAGGGCTTGGAGAAGAGGAGAGGCAAAGAGCTGGGACTGCCTAGCCTGGAGAAGGTTTAGGGAGATCCCGCCCTGTGTGTGGATTCCTGAGGGAGGAGTACAGAATTCAGAACTGGAACATTCTCAAAGCAGGAGCAGGGTGAGAGGCCCAAAATTGAAGAAAAAAAAAAAAAGAAAAAAAAAAAAAAAAAAAAAAAAAAAAAAAAAAAAAAAAAAAAAAAAAAAAAAAAAAAAAAAAAAAAAAAAAAAAAAAAAAAAAAAAAAAAAAAAAAAAAAAGAAAGAAATTTCACTTAAATGTAATATGCTTTTTCACTGCAAGGGTGGTTGGCCACAGGAGCAGGTTGAGAGGCTGGGGAATCTTTGTCCTTGGAGATGCCCAAGATGAGAGGAGACACGGCCGTCAGTAGCTTTGGGCAGGGGTGGGATGGGGCTTGCCCAGCCCAGTGGCTGTGCCTGCTCCTCCAGCAGAGCCAAGCCAAGGAGTGCTCCTGGTGTTACACCCGTGACCCTCCAGCTTCTGGGAAAAAAACTCCAAGGAAATGTTAGATTGGATATTGGGAATGCAAAAAAATAGCTGGGCATGAGCTTTCATAGCTTTGGTAGACCTTCTCATGGGAAAACCAGATCTGGCAGCTGGAGACACAGCCTAGGGTTGTTTGGGATGGATGGAGCTTGGGAGGTCCAGTCTARCAYGCTGCTCAGAGCAGGGTAAATACTRAATTCAGACCATGTTGTACAGGGCTTTGTTCTCCAAAGATTGAAATTCTCCAAAGAGAGAGATCCTGCTGTTGCATCCCAGGGGGAATATTTTCTTCTGTTCAGTCAGAACCTCCTCACTTTCCATTTATCCTGGTGGTGTCCCTTTCTCCCAGCACACACCTTCATAAGGGCCCAGCTCCATCTTCTCCAGAGCATGAAAGGCTGATGAAGCCCATCTCCCTCAGTATYTCCTTTTGGCCAGGTGTTCCAGCCCCAGGTGGCCCTCTCTTGTGTCTCCTCTGCATTATCAACATCTTGTAAGTGGGTGGGAGGTGGACATCAGATGATAACATTCCAGATCCCCAAGTGCCAAGGGGAACAATCACCTCCCTGCCCCTTGTGGGCTGCCTTCCCTGCCCACAGCCTGGCTCAGCTCTCTGACTGCAGAGCTGCTACCCTGTCCAGCAGCACTCAGAGGACCCGTACAGGGGCCCCTCGCTCCTTTCAAGACTYATTCCTAGCTGCAGGATCTTGCAGTTCTTTCCCAAGGCCCATRTCCCTGTAAATGGTGACCCTGACTTCATTAACTCCCATAATGTGGTGTTTTCCACAAAATGAAGCACATTCCCTCTCTTCCCCTGGTTTATTGGTACATGGACCTTTCCTGTGAAGACCTTCCAGTTTTGTGGAGTTTGTCCTCATTCTCCAAACTTCCCAAGGGACCTGAGCAGCAACAGGAACAGTGAGGCCAAGCACGGAGCAGGGTGAAGCCTCAGGGGGAGCAGGGGCCCAGCACAGAGGGGCTCCTGTGCTTGTGCAGGGCCACAGAGCAGCCCCACTCTAACAGGGGGGATGGGGACACTGAAGAGGGGCTGGGAAACTGCCCGATGGGAAAGGCCTCAGGAATGTTGGTGAAAGCAGCTGAACATGAGTCAGGTTGATGCCTTATCAATCAGGCTGATCTGAAAGAGAGGCCAGACAAACTTAAAGAGAATGAGAATACACAACTTTAATCCAGGCCTAACAGGCCTACTGGTACATTAGGGGAGACAAAGCCTCCTCCTGAGGCTACACCCAAAAAATGGACACCAGGTCATGAGATCTTCACCTTTTATAAGTTCTGCCTTATTAACATATTATGTCTTAATTCTCCAATGATCTTTACAGGTGATGATGTCAATCACCCCAAACTTGGTCCCCCCCAACTCGCATTGTTTACATATTTTGGGCCTCTGAGGCAGCGAGGTGTCCTTGGATTCAGGCTCAGAGAGGAATTGTTTTGTCTAAAGATGAGAAAATGCTAGTTTTTAGTGCTGTRCTAGAGAAGTACAAGAATACAGACGCATGAAAATACAGAAATGAAAAATCCTAAGGCATCAAGGTGTGCCCAGGTGGGCAAGAGGCCAAGGGCACCTGGCCTGTACCAGCCATGGTGTGGCAGCRGGACCAGGGCAGTGACTGTCCTAGTGAGACACCTCCAATCCTGGGGTCAGTTTTGAGTCCCTCAAGGCAAGAAGGACACTGAGGGGCTGGAGTATGTTCAGGGAAGGAACTGGAGCTGGGAAATGGACTGGAGTCCCAGGAGGGGCTAAGGGAGCTGGGAAAGGGGCTCAGCCTGGAGCAAAGGAGGCTCCGGGGGACTTTGTGGCTCTGCACAACTCCCTGACAGGAGGGGGCAGCTGGGGAGGGGATTGGGATCTGCTCCCAGGGAACAGGGACAGGAGGAGAGGAGATGGCCTCAAGTTGCACCAGGGGAGGTTCAGGTTGGATATGGGGACAATTCRTTCATGGAAGGGGTTGTCAAGTMCTGGCACAGCTACCCAGGTCAKGGGGGGAGTCCCCATCCMTGGAGGGATTTTAAGAAGTGTGGATGCTGCACCTGGAGACACGTGCTAGTGATGGCCTTGGCAGTGCTGGGGAAACAGATGGACTTGATAATTTTAAAGGGCTTTTCCAGCCCCAATTATTCTGTGATATCAGCATCGCTCAGTGCCTGTTACCTTGTGCACAAATAGGTAATTTTTGTGATTATAAAAGCTGGCAACTTATATTTAATGACAATTTATATTTSATCAGCCTTTTGAGTTACTTATTTTTGAAATTCAGCAAGAAAGAAAAGGTGGCAGTGTGTGCACAGAGCTCAGGCAATGGGCTCAGCCCGGCTCGGGCTCTCCCGGCAGCTCCCGGAGCACTGAGCCTGACCTACTTTCCATGGCAGCACATCCCAACCCTCCGCTGCCCATGGCAGCAGTTATCCAGATAAAGGGACCCCCGGCTGCCGCCTGGCAGAAGCCTTTACCCACGAGATTGTGYCTTTGCGTGGCTGTTCCCCGCTGAGCAGCCCTCGGTGGGGAGCCAGGCTGCCGGGGCTCCTCGCTCCCCGCACAGCCCCGAGGGCAGCAGGGCGCCCTTCCCGGTCTCTCGCTTTGCAGGAACAGCTGCATCAGTTGTTTGTGGTTAAACAAATTCCTTGCTAAAGCTCCATATAAGGAGCTTGCAGGCCAGGAGCTCTAAATAATCCCTTCAATCCTCCTGTTTGGAATGATGCTGATGCTGTTGTTGCTAATAATAATTCAACCCAATTTATAGGACAGTAACATTTATTTAGAGCATGAGGGATTCCACATTATACAAACCCTTAAATTTATTTTTTGTTTCACTGGTCCGTTTCTACAACAAATACATCAGATCTACTATATAATAAAATTATTTACATTTCCAAACAAYATGGGGTTTGTCTATAACCCCTCTGACTGCTATTCACATACAGTACTTAAACAACAGCACATTACATTATTTTAATACCTAAAAATGACAACCCTGTATTCTAAATTGTTTATGAAAAGTGGAAACAAATAAAATTACATTTGTCTTCCCCTCCCCTTCCATTTCATACAAACATATTACCCTAATGTGCTAACCCTGGACTTGACTTTGCAAATCCAGGGGGTTTTAGAAGAACCCAGTTTTTATATCTATTTATGTTTTTTAGAAAAAAAATCATTTATTTGGAACAGTATAATATTAAAATGACTTACTGTACAGAATTTTATTTAAAAAAGAAAAATCACAGCTCAAAATTGCTATTGGAAAATTCACACTCATTTACAAGTCTCATGTTTCCATGCAGTAATTTACTTGGATTTTCTTCTTTTTGACTGCATTGCACTGGCACTCGTTTCTGAAATCAAGAGAAGAAAAAAAGCATGGATACGGAGTCGATAAGCCATTCCCCAGGGGGCACAGATTGCCCTGTCATTTTTCCAAACTCACACCAGAGTGGAAAGCTCTGGAGAGCAGGATTTCCCCAGCACCAGGACTGGCTCTTCAGCAGCTGTCCCAGTGCTGGCCTGTCACCCTGACAGCCGTGGCACAGCCAGGGACCCCGAGCCACTCTCCGGACATTTAGGAAGCCCTAACAGGACAGCCTTTCAAAGAAGAACCAATGTTTGTAACTGTGCCCTAAGTGCAGGCCCCCAGGTGCCACGGGGGAGTCGTGTCCCAGCAGGAAGCGCAGCCCCAGGTGCCAGAGATGGGGAGGTGTTTGGAGACCACCATGCCAGTGCACAACCCAGCTTTCTGAGTTATTAGACAGTCATTAGAAAACAAGTCTCTGCAGGGTACACTGAGCCACAGGAACACAGCTGATGCAAAAGACACAAAYAGTAACACCTGCAGAGCCACGGTGACAGCAGATGACATGTCCAGTGCACTTACCAAGGCACAAAGTTTCCATTTCAAAACAAAAAAAAGAGTAAGGACCAAGGGCATTTGCATCTTTAGATCTTTTTAAAAATGTGATTTTAAATGTTGGTGATGTCTCTTTGGCTCTTCACAATGTTTTCCAAAAAATATTGCAGCTGTGTGTATTTTAAGAGTCAAAAGGGGAAAAATTTCCAAGCCCATCTAAAATTAGAACAGCAGCAATACAACTCCATGGCTGTTACATGTGGAATTAGAAAAAACAATCCACATTTCAAAATTTAACAAACTCGAAGCTACAGTGAATACTAAAAGCAGCCATTGCTGGAAAAGTACTCCAAAAAGGGAAAACACCAATTTTTAGAAGTGAAACATCTCCACAGGCTGGACTCCAGCCTGGAGCCCCTTCAGGCAGCAGGGCTGACTGCAGTAGCTTCAGCAGTGCCAGTGTTGCCACCCCTGTTGCTGCTCAAGGCTCCGTGTTTGGGARGAGGAATGGGCCTGTCCCAGTCCCTTGGGAGCATCCCCAGCACCTCCCCAAACCCTGCACCTGAAATGTGCTGGACACACGGGGACAGGGCTGACCCTCCCTGTGTGCTCTTCTCTCCTCTCCTCTCCTCTCCTCTCACAGTGACCCTTCCCAAGGCTTAGCAACAGAGTTCCTAGTCAAACTGGTCAAAGTCTACTTCTCTCTCCCTGCTGATTCTTTTTTCTTAATTGCTGTTTCTATAAAGACTTGTAACAGCCTCACTCTTAAGAGGTAACTCCTCCCAGCCCCACATTCCTTTTGCAATGGATTAGGGGGTTTCTCGGGACACAGGTAACTTAATGAGGACAGGMGCAACCAAGCCAGAATAATTAAGCTCTGATTCACTAACAAAAATGTACAACGGAGTAGGCACAGGTGGCAAACCAGGTGACACTCCTGCAACCACCTCGGTAACGTGCAGCCTGTCCTCTGCCACAGAGTACCTGGTTTGGCTCATTGTCCACAGCTTGGGAGCAGCTGTGTGCCTGCAGCTTAGCCAACTGTCCCCAGGGAGCCACACCCAAGTGTCCAGCAGAGCCCTTGGACACTGCGACAGCTTTGGATGCACGACTTAAAAACAAGAATTTTACTTACACGGRTAAACAAATTACACAGTCAGCACAAACCCCTGTGAGAGTTTTGGTATTATTTAAATTTGATGCACTTTCCTGTTCCCACATTTTCAGAATTTGATGTGTCACTGGTTGTCATCATTAGGTTTACCCAGTACAGCATGTGGGACAGGTCACACACTCCACATCCCCTCAAACTCAGGCAGGGATTTTACACTGGCTTCACATTTTTCAAACTTTTCTTCACAATCATGAAAGAGAATTTATTTTTACAATACAGACTCAGATTCTTCTGCACAGTCCTGCCACAAGAAGTAAATGTAATTAAATTCAGCAGTCACAAAAGTGCAGAACATATAGGTTTCCTGCRTAATCTTTGGGAGTCATTGCACAATGATAAAAAGCTGGAATGCTTCTCTGAAACTCTGAAAACACAATATTCTTACCATCACACTTTAGTACTTCCAGTATGGAAATGGTGGCTGAATTCAACTTGACTTCCTTTTATAATAATTTTATATTAATACCTCTTTGTTCTGTATATTATCTTTAAAATATGGTCGAATGTTGCCTCTTGACGGTCTCTCTCTACTCTCTTGCATAACTTTGGTCCATCAGCATTTTTCTGACCCTTAAACACAAGAAGCTGACAGAATTAGCTTCAGCCTGGCACTGGGCCATGCATATCATACAAATGATGCATAAATGTTAAAGACCATAACCTGGGTAGGAGTAAGGTATGTCAGCACCTGTAATGCCATGGGTTAATAACTTCAGGAGTTCAAGTGTTGTTGGGAAGCAGAGCTGAGGCTCTGTACTAGCTCACAGCACTCCCTGATGCTCCTGGCTGCCACCCCAGCAGCCTCTGGAGCATGCCTGAACCATGACATTTGACTCGGCAAGAGCTGACTGTGCACTTGGGAAGACTTAAGTCTTGTGTCTTTCAGGCTTCAGGAAAATATCATTTTTTGATCTGTGTATAGTCCTTCCAACAGCAACACATTTCTGCCAAAAGAATTCAACTTCAGCTAGGCAAGGTGCTGAATACTATGGTGGCGAGTGCTGCAGAAAACAAGTTCCACAGATGTACCAAAGAGGAATTCATATAGGATTTACTGCCARTGCAGATGTCAGGAAATGCTTCAAACACCGACCTGTGGCTAAATCCTTGAAACTAAAGCACCCAAGGTGTACGAGCTGCAAACCAGTGTTATGAGGCAGCTATTGCCGCAGCAAATACCTGGGGAAGCAGTTAGGAGCTGCCCTGTGCCCAGAAAGGGCAGCAGTGCATGTTACCTTTTGCTGTGCCAGACGCAGAGGCGGGTCGCGAGGATCTCTTGCGCTGCCCGTTCTCTACACTTTCCTGTGAAGCGGCAGAATCCTCTGTTCTTGAATTTCTTCTACTTGGAGTTTTAGACTTTTCACAATTCTCTTTTGTCTCATTACTAATAAAGTGGGACAAAATATTTCTGATGAAGTGTGAGAAGAATTAGGTTTTTCTATGCAAGTCAGACAAGCTGGAGGATGGCCCGACACAGGTACCAGTTCCGGACTATTAGCACTGAAGATATGAAACGCTAGAGATACCAGAAGTTCTATCAGATGAAGAATGACCTGAGTAAGCCAGAGTATAGTCCATTTTTATCAAAAATTATCAGAGGATACAGAATTGAGAAGTCCTCAAAGAGAATATTTTCAACATTTAGAAGACCAAGAAATTAGATGCAATTGATAAATTGTCTGCTTTGTTTTCCACAGGTGCCACCATTACTGAAGTCTAGGAAAAGCAAACAGGTTACATTAGAGACTGCTGCAGTATGGGGGTACAGAGCTGAAATTGCAGATGAACATCAGGAGGAATTAAGAACTCTTCAGGGAGTATGCCAGCTTTTGGGTCTGCTAAAAAACTTACTCCATTGATCCAAGTGATTTTTCACATATTAAAAAGAAGATTTCTTTAAAACTTTCTTCAAGTCTTAAAGCTTGAAGTCAAAATCTTTTTTTAATAACAGAAAGCTTCTTCTGCTATAAAATAATAATTTTAGCTACTGTGAAAATCTGTTTCTTGCTACTGAAAYAATAAATGGAGGGCTACATTTTGTAATTAAATTCCTCTTTTATTTTATCTTTCTTAACTCTGTAAACTCATCCTGAGCTTTGGGTGTTTTCTCCTTAAAACATTAATGCCAGACAATTTCTGGTGACTAAGCAGTTTCAGAAGATTAAACTACACTTCTCTCCTGTGAATTCAAAAGTAAGTAATTAACTAAATAAATTATTCTGCTGATAATGGAAAAGAAGAAAGCTCATTTCAGGCCCCTTGGGTGCCACTTGTGGGATTTCAAGAAGGGCTGTCTGAATCGGAGGCTGGAGTGAACACACAGCGCAAGGTGATGTGTGTGTGACCTCTGCAGTGTCACCCTTCAGATGAGTCCTGYTTTGAGGGGAAGGACTCAAACCACACAAACTTTAGGGTTAAGYAGAGAAACCTGAAATAAAATAGTTTCTCATTGGAAGGAGAGACAAGCAAGGACACACAGCAGAGGAGACTATGGACTGTAGATTGTCTCATACAAAATAAATACTGACATCTATACCCCGCACCCCCCGCCCCATAAGGATTMTTATGGGCAATCTATAAACTGGATCCCCCAAACTGGTCTCAAAGTGGTCTTCTCCTATGGAACTGGGGCAGCTGAACCAGCAGTCACCTACCTCAGAGGACACCAGAGGGAAGCAAATAGGCATCAGCACCTGAAGTTCAGTTAGGACAGGTAATTTTTACAGAGTCTAGTGACTAAATCCAGAATGAGGATTGTCTTATAGGAACCAGCACATCACTTCCCTCCTTTCATAKGAGGAAATCACATTACTCCAAGCAAAAATATTTCTAGTGCTTTAGGTTCCCTTAAGGTTTTAAAGGTGTTTAATGGCTTTAAACTGAGAGYAGGTTTAGATTAYAYATTAGGSAGAAATTGGCAAAGGTTGCCCAGAGAAGCTATGGCTGCCCCATCCCTGCAAGTGTCCAAGGCCAGACTGGGTTTGGAGCAATCTGATGTGGTGGAAGGTGTCCCTGTCCATGGCAGGGAGTGGAACAAGTTAAGTTTTAAGGTTCYTTCCCACCCAAACCATCTGTGACTCCATCAAGGTTTGTCCTTGATGGTTCAACTCCAGGAACCCAAAGCTGCCTACTGTATCAGCCATCACTAGACACAGCTTGCCTGCAAACTTTCCTTCTTTTCCAGTCTCGTTCAGAAAAGTATCAATCAGAAAAMCCCTGAGAAATGCCTCGTGGTAATTTGATGTGCTGGGTGAGTTTGGAAATGGACACATGAGGACACTTCCCTTGGAGAATCTGCTCTGTTGCCAATGTCCRACCTTCAGCTTTTCAGAAGAGYTCTACCCTGAAGAAGACTCACTGTWAAATTTCAGTTTCAGTTTGAATGATGCCAATCCAAATGAAGGTAGATATAGTTAAATATTCCATTCAGAGCCATTCCTGATCTAGGAAATGTATTGCATTCCCTCCCTTATGAAGGAAGGCACTGCCTCATCTCCTGAGGAACCCAATGAGGGGCTGCCCTYGTCTAGGGGGTCACTGCATCCACAAGGGCAGTATCCAAAACGCAGCCAGCTGTGCCAGCACCATTAACAAAAAACCTCCCCAGGGGCTCTCACTGCCAGCTGAGTGAGAGCCTGGGGTGCTTAGAACTTCCAAAYAGTTCTTGGAAATGGCATTTTCTTCTGACAGAACCAAATGTCTTAACTAGGACAACATGAAATTTCTACCTGACTTTCCTATCAGGTTTTGGCAGCCTTAACAAGCAAATAGAGGAAAACGGTTGAAAACAATCCTCARGGGAGAAGAACAAACTTTTGAAAGATTTCCTTTCAAAGAATTCACTTGAATTCACTTTCCTGTTAAGAATTCACTTGACAGCTAAGCTGCAGGGGGGGTTAATTTTGATTTGTTGTGCAACCATCAAGACCCTTCAAGGACATGAAACATCCAAGCCTGAAAGGATGAGAGGAAACATTGCCCAAAGCACAGACTTAGGGAAAAGTTACCTTATAATCATTGCATTTCAGTAATGGTTTGGAACATTCAACTGGCCTGGTTTCTTAGCAGAAAAGAAAGGGTATGGCCAAGGAAATGAGAAGCAGTAGCAGAGGTTKAGCATGTGAAGCAAAGTGTAAGGGACTTGCTCCCACAAAAACTGTATCTACTCTGAATCTACAAACTATCTCCTTACCTTTGACCAGCAACTACTGCAGCATTTGTCTCAAGCTCTACAAAAGAAAAAGATAATTTTAAAGTCTGCTGTAGAAGTACATACCCACTGACAAGGCATGACTAGCTCACATTTTTCTATTAGGTATTAGATCTCAAGGATAAGCTTCTCTCAAAGCAAAGCAAGCCAAAATACCAAATAGCACGTTGGCCAAGTGCTTGGTCTGATTACTGATTACAGCTTGCACCAGCTAAGAGGGAAAAGTTAATGCCCTGCAGAAGAAAACTGTAGAGAAACTCCCTGACAAGGGCTACGCTCTTTTTCCTTTCTTAACTTCCATTTTAGACAGATTATTTCTTCTAAACCTTCTAGGTATTATTAGTTTTTAAACCTTAAATGTACCCATCTGGCTCTATTGGGAATGYAAAAATTTGCCTTAACCCAACTGCCTCTCACAGCAATACCTTTTAATGACAAATTTCTGAAGCCAAGTCACACTTGTACAGAATTGGAAAATATCTCAGGGGAGATGATGCAAAGAGAAGTYTGACCTGTTTTCTCTCTCTCTCAGTGATTTTACACATACAGGCCAGGTTTCCTTTGTAGTCTTCACCTCAGTAAACAATTCTCCTTTTCAGCATATAAAATGTCAAGTCTTTTTACTCTCTGTTTTTTAATTCTCTCCATATCCACCAGTTCCTTTGTTGAGAGGGAAGACCTTTTGCTAAATACAGCCCCTCTCATGAGAAACTGCCAGAGATTTAGGGATTACCATTGCAATGTCGTGGATTAACTCTCTGTGCTTTGTCTTACTGCCCACAGTGAGATTCAGCTCAATTCCCCATCAAACCTTGGGGCCAGTGGGGCACAAACTGGGGTTTTGCCTTTGACATCAATTTAGCACCCAAAGTTTGCTAGAGTGTGCACAAGGAATAGAKATATAAAAAAAGTTTAAAAATGGGTATTATTTATCCTCCTAGGGTAAATTTGCAGTGTTGGAACATCAGCCTCTTCAGTGTAAATGGATATAGCATCGTCTGGAAAAAACAGATGCCTTAGTAACAAAGGAAGAACAGACTAAATAATGTAAGGAAAAAGTTGCCTTTCTTCCTACCCTAAATTTGAACAGGGAGATTATCCAAAAGCAAAAAATGAATAACATCAGTGCTTCCCCCAGCAGGAACTGCCCAGTACAGTCAAAGCAGCACCAGGCAATGAGTCGGATGTGAAAGAACAGGGTGTATGACCATCTTTGTTTTAATGGAAGTTCAAAGAAAACAACTTTGTATAATTTTTACTTTCTGAAAACTCTACTTGTAATCAGATTAGAGATGGGAAATGGATGGAGAATGGCACTTCCCATAAGTAAGCCCACATATATCCGTTTTCACTACTCAACTTGGGAATTACTTTTTTAAACACTCTGGAATTGACAGTGAAACACCATGATAATAGATGGCAACACCAAAAAATCATCTGCCAGGGCTCCATCCTGAAGCACTGCTGAAGGGGATTAAAAATTRAACAGGAAAAACAAAACCCAAATTATAACTCTAAGACACACTCCCAGCAAGATATGAACAAATTTCTATATTCAGAAGGGTACAATGAAAAAAAAATCCCTTTCTTATTAGCTCTGAATAGAACTTCAAAACTTAAACACAACATATTGTTACAAATCCAGTCCCTCCAATTTATCACTGAATGTCTAAAACCTTCCTTGTTAATTTTTTTCATTTTTTTGCTTGATCCCATCCTGAATCTCCCACAAGGCTTTGGAGACTTCCAAAGCACAATGCAACTAGCAATGAAAAACAATCCCAAAAGCACAAAAAATAAGCAAACCCCCACCCAACTCCCAAACTACCCAACGTGTTAGTGACCACTGCGTATGCATTCAAATAAATGTATTTTTAGTTCCAAATATAAAGGGTTTAGTTCACYTCTATTCTGCTTTTCCAAAGGAAGATTTACCTGTTCTTTGAACAGTACTTTCTGATGTTGCAACTGAACTTTTTTTCTGTGTTAAGTGTTGAGAGGATGCTAGAATAAAAGTGGAGGGGAAAAGCATTATTGCAAACTCAAAGTAGTTCCTGTGGGGTGAGCAGGCTGGTACAAAATGCTCTCTCTCCCAGCTGACTGCAATTTGGCACTTACAGATGCAGTGTTTTTAATTTACCATCCACCTCCTCCCACCACACACACCTTCCCTTTTTAAAACAAATTTTGGCAAAACTATCCCAAGCAAATTTTCTCARACTAGACTGAGTGATGAAATGAAGTATCACAAACCACATTTTAAAAGGTAACAGTTTGTCAGCAGACAGAGAYATTAAAGGAAGTCCTAAAATTTCAACCGTTTAGTCTCCTTTTTTAATGCTCATTTCAGCAGAGGTTCTGGGGGAAAATAGTACCTTTTTAAATGAATCAATGCCCTCAGTCTTTCAATTAAAGTGCACAATATGCTCCAGAGTTGCGCTTGAAGGCCTTTGGCAATAAGATGATGTGACTTAACATCAGGTTGCCAAGTAAAAAAATCAGATGGACAAACAATTTTTGTCGGGCTAATGCTTTCTAGTCTCCTATGTGATRGTGAACTTACAGAGAACAGGAAGATAAAAAGTTAAACATTCCTGCTTAAATAAAGAATATCACTTCCATTTTGCTYCTAGAAAGCCAGAATTCCTTCTGTGAAGCTCAAAAGAAGCATCTCCATTTTCCAGGGGCGTACAGCTACAACATCCAACAGTCATGGGGAAAGTCACACTCAGGCTGAAGTTTTCAGTTCCCCGGACTCCTGTGGATTTTATCATCYATGATTTTATCTTCTGTGTCTAATTCAAGTTGTAAAGCACAACACTCAGCTCACTTCACGAGTGATGGGTTTATATCCACACCCGATTCAATAGACTAAAAATGGCATTAAGAAAAAGTATCAGTGTCATATATAAAGTTTGCCAGAGGCTCAAATTAAAATAGCAAAACTCAGATGTGAAGGTATTTTATGTTTCGAAATTGAATGCAGTTAACCTTTTCAGTAATTTCTCTGAAATGACCATTTAAGTTTTTTCCTAGACAAAAGAGGTTTTGGTGTGGGTTGTTTTTYACTTCTGTTCTGGAGGTTATTCTGCAATTTCCCTAGAGGATGAAGGCTATTCAGAGAGGGAAATAGTATTAYTAGGATTAATTCAAAATATAATAATTAATAAATTGAAATAATTTACAAAATCAAGGTCTATGGCAAGACCAAAGCAGAATACCAGTGTATTTATCAGTGTAAAAGGCACCCTAAGTATTTGTCATTACGGATGCATTCAACTTTGCCTCCTTGCTTCCAACAGTTACATTAAGTTACTCCTGTTTCTGAATCATATGTTCATAACAAATACCCCATTGACAAAGTAAATGGAAAGTGAAATAAAACAGCTGTAATTCGAATCTTGGTGAATAGGAGCCTGTGTATCACTTAGCTGTTAAAAAGAAAAAAAGCAGCTGTGAGCCTCGGCTGCAGTGTCTACATTTGATGGTGGTCAGGAAGAGCAGCCCCTGGGATTTGCCGAAGCCGCCTCGTTGCCTCCCCCCCGCCGCGGGCAGCCCTGCACTCACCTGCGCTCTGCAGCCCCTCCGGGGGTGCTGCGGGCTTCTCCTCGGCCCCGCCGCYGCCGCTCGGCTCCGTGGCCCCGCCGGCAGTGCCGCCGTTGGCGCTGGGGACCGGGGGGTCCGGGGGAGCTCCGGCCGGGGGACCTGCGGCCGGGGGATCTCCGGCCAGGGCCGCTGCGGCCGGGAGGCCTCCGGCCGGGGGGGTTGCGGCCGAGGGAGCTCCGGGAGCGGGAGTGCTCGGGGGCGCGCCCGGGGAGGCGCAGGAGGGAACGGCCGCCGCGGGGCTGAGGCTCGAGCTGCCGGGCCCAGAAGTGCTCTGTTTCGTAAGACTGGGTGCTGGAGGCGTCCCGCTTTTGTTATCGAGCTCTGCTGGTGCTTGTTCTGTTCCCAAACTATTTGGGACCGACGTTTCTAGCGCCTGACTTTCTGCTTCTCCATCCAAAGCATACTGCTCTTCCCCTTTSTCCAGGGAGCCAGTGACTTTCTTGCATGCTTTAGTCAGCAGCAGTTGGCCAATTTTGTCTACTTTTCCCTTTCCCTTGCTGGATGAAACAGGACTGCGTCTATTCCCAGATCCCGGGCTGCTCGAAAGCAGAGGGGAAACAACAGGTCCCGACTGGGTCGCTGGGACAGGGCACTGTTCACCCGAGCCAGCACCTTGGGAAGCCTCCTCAGGGCTGAAGTCCTTGGCTTGCTGAGCAGGAAGGTGTGAGGCAGCGCTGGAAGGAGCTGGTGCAGAAGAAGGCAGTTGGACAGGAGATGTCAAGGGATTCAGAACAAGTGATCTGCTGGTGGGAAYTGTGGACACAGGACTGCTGGATGAGGTGCTGGGAGGAGCAGGCCCAGAGGAGAACTTGATATTCTGTGGGATATGCAAAGGACCAACAACGGCAACCGACTGAGGCAGCAGGCTTGAGTTAGAAGTCATGGGGGCTGCTGGAATTGTGCTGGACTGAGAGCCCTTCATCACCTGGATAATTGAGGATGAGTTTATGAACACGGGTGTGATGAACTGTGGCCGGGCATTGGACTGAACCGCGGACTGTCCCTCTGAAACCATCACTTTGCTCCCCACATTGGGCATGGTGACAACAGTGGACACTAATGCAGATTGCAAGTGGGATGGCAACGGAGCTGATGTGTTAGCTGCAGATGTAATAGGGTTGGAGGTCACAAAAACTGTTATCTGATTGGGGGGTAAGGGACCTGAAATAGAAGAGCTAACAGGCCTTTGCATTACTGGAGGAACACTCTGTGCCATGCTTGAGTTTATTTCTCCCAGTTCCTGGTGCCCTGTATTTGGACAGGGCTCATTATTTTGAGGCAGGCCAAGTGAATTAGATGGCTCCTTGCTCAAGGATGAATCCTGCACTGGAGGAATGACAGCTATTTTCTTYGGCTCCTCACTAGTGGGGACTATCGGTGCCATTTCAACACCAGTCAGCCCAGGGGGCTTGATGGTCACATTAGGAGCTCCAGAATTGTCAAGAAGTTGACTTAGAGAAGTTGGTGCCTCCCTCATAGCTGGAGATACCATGGTTTTAYTTTCCTCCACAACTGGGAGCTTACTGCTGTCTAAGGCTTGCCCATCTTTTTTCACCTGCTCTTCAGGAACCAGCACTTTCATTTCTGGAGTAGGGATGCCTTTCAGTTCAATACTGGGCTGGTCTTTGTTACCTTGGACACCTTGTGCACTTTGACTTTCAGTATCTTGAGGCACACTAAGGCTCTCCTTGTTGTCTTCAGGAATGCCAGTCACAGCAGGTACAGAAACTGTAGGATTCTGGTTACTCAGCATGGAATTATTCTGAAAACTTGTAGTCACGGGTGTTGGCAAAGAAGAGGGACCAGCTATCATATTTCTTTGTAATTCCATGTTCTGCAAGAGAGGTGGATTCTGCTGAGTTGTCAATGATAATTTAGCTGCTTTTGAATTCTGTCTTCCAGGGCTTGGCGTAGTTTTCCTACTGGATCCAGGACTGGACCTTCGACTATTGCTTGGACTTGCTCTCTTTGTTGCTCCAGCATTGATTTGTTTGCCCGAATTAATGACCACTCCTTCTAATTTGTGTGACTGTGAGGCAGTAAAACTGGACTGATTGTTAATGGTGAGATTTGATGGGGCTTGTCCAATGGCCTTTAAAGTAGTGGGATTCAGACCCTGCTGATCAAATCCTCTGTTGAGATTAGGCCTGGGAGGTAAAGGAATATTGATCTGAGGAGGGAACAGACCAGCTATAGAAGCGTTGAGYCTCTCTGGAGACAGGCTAATTTCTGAGGGTTCTGTGCTGGGTGGACGGTTATTAGGAGTCTGAGGGTAATATGGCCTTGGGCTTGCTCTGTTTGGAGTTTTCGGCCTTGAAGTTTGCGATGGGGCAGCAACATTTGGAAAATGGTGTGTAAGAGCACTAGGTAGAGAACTAGACTGCTGCTGGGGACTTGCACCTTGGGTAGCTGAAAGTGGGGATGGTCCAGGCTTGGGTCCTGTCATCATTAACTGGTTCTGTGAAACTACTAAATGAGATGTCAAATTATTCTGAGCTCCTGATGTTGGAGGGCCCTCAGCTCCGCCTCCTTCTGGCAGAGAGGACACTGATGACACCTCTCTGAGGGGTGARCTGGAAGGATTCTGCGCGTTATCTGGATAAACCATTTTCCTAGCATTATTTCCCAGAGGAGGATTGCCCGGCAGGGCTATTCTCTGTTTGTCTGGAGATGGAGGCACGGGCCCAGGCCCCTGGAGATTCACCATCACAGGCATGTTCCCGCTCTGCTGCATCGGCATCCGCTGAGCTTCTGGGTTCAGTGGCCCCCTSGGGGGGTGAACCCCCTGGGGCACAGGCAGCCTGGCTGACTTGGGATCCTGCTGCATCATCAGCATCATCATCATCTGCTGCTGCTGTGGTGTGTGTGGGGGTGCCTGGCCTTGCTGTGGGGCTGCCTGTGGCTGCTGCTGCTGCTGGGGCTGGGGCTGCTGCGTGTGTGGCATGAGCTGAGGTGGCATCTGCTGAAGTGGCCTTTGCTCCACTGGCTGAGATGGATAACCTAAGACAACAGGATGACACATTCATCAAAGCCAACCAAAGATCAGAGGAAGCAGMATTTCTGTAACAAACAGGATTGGGTAGAAAGTACAGCCTGGAGCCTGTTTGTCTTGGATGAGAGCCACATTAACAAAACAGGCTTTACAAACAGGCCAAAGATTTCACTTAATTCTTAAAAATAGTTTTACTCAATGTATTGTTTGTATGAGATTTACCTGGAGATCTCATAATGTATTGTATCATCTGCTAACCCAGGTTCACACCACCTGACAAGTCTCTGCAACTGCCCATGGACTTCTTCCTTTCACTGACAAACCCAGAGCTAGACTTTCACTAATTATTACTCCTTAAAACAAATTTCAGTTTGACAGCACCCAAGGGTCATGAACCARCACACTTGCTATAGACTTGAAATTTCCCAGAGTACGAAGTAGAATCTGCCATGTGCTAGTTGGTCAAAAACATGCTAAGAACTCCCCATATGGTTTATAATATAAATCCTATTGCAGACTTTAGATTTAATCCTCTCTACATGGAGAGGATCATTCCAGCTACAACCCCTGTTTCATCTGAAAAATCAGCTATTGGTCAATGCTAAATTTTTAAGACATTGGTGTGTGCTACAGCTAGAAATGCAACATTTTTATATCAGTTATGTTACTACTGAATAACTGTACAGTACTCAGTATAATACCYGCATGATTATACATGAGAACGTGACCACCTTTTCATTTTGAGCTGATCCAAAGAAAACACATAAACAATGTACCAATTACTTACTAGGAGGAAAAACATTTGAACTTGAATGTCTGATAGGACAAATAAAATAGAACTGCCACAAAGATCAGTTAAAAGATCTCCTATAGTTATCACATTCAGATAATTCACAGAAAATTTCTGCTACCTGGTGGTCTACTTGCAAAATCTGAGAGTTTAGGACCTGATTTATCTAAATTCATTCCTTGGTCTCCAGACATCGATGACTGATCACTCTCCTCCAGGCCAGCTGGACGCGATTCTGAAGAACTGAAAGAAAAATAATTGCAATTAAGATCCAGCCCCTACATCAGTGTCTGATTTCTGCTTCTATAACTAAGTACTCAAGTAATTAATTCCTGGTACTTTCCACAGGGCTGGCATAACCCACTGAAATGCCTGTGATGTAACATGCCAGACCAGAACACACATCCCAGCTCTGTGTACAGTCACTGCCTTAAGTACTACTTAAAAAGAAAAGTTGTCTAGTGCTCTCTTGATCTTAATTATTTCTACCTTGAATCTGAGCTTTATAACTAAGAGAAAGCCAGTGCTTATTCCAAGTGATAGAGCTATATATATTTCAACTAAACTGGCTTCCCTATGACATCTRTATGAATAAGCAAGTGCTATGGGTAGATGCATTTTTAATTTATCTTAATGGTAGCACCTTTTCTTCCAGTACTGCACCCAGAGATGACTCACTATGGCATCCAAGACTTCTGCTAACATCACAGCCCAACTGTTCTGATTTGACAGCATTGCAGTCACCCTCCAGAGCACAGACCTGTGAGTGATCACACAGTCAGGGATGGAAGAGTCCTTTAAACCCATCCAGTTCCATCCCCTGTCATGGGCAGGGACACCTTCCACTATCCCAGGTGGCTCCAAGCCCCAATATCCAGCCTGGCCTTGGACACTTCCAGAGATCCAGGGGCAGCCACAGCTTCTCTGAGCACCCTGTGCCAGGGCCTSCCCACCCTCACAGGGAAGAATTCCCTCCCAATATCCCTGCCCTCTGGCACTGGGAAGCCATTTCCCCTCTTCCTGTCCCTCCATCCCTTATCCTAAGTCCCTCTYCAGCTCTCCTGGAGCCTTCCCTTCCCCAGGTGAGCACCCCCAGCACTCTCAGCCTGGGGGTGAGAGCACAGGGGTTGTAGCACTTGGAGCATCTTTGTGGCCTCCTCTGGACTCACTCCAGAAGTGTCTTTCTTGTGCCCCTGAGCTGCAGGCAGCTCTGCGGGTGGGGTCTCACCTGAACAAGGCAGAGGGGCAGAATCCCCCCAGGCTTGCTGCCCATGCTGGGATCAGCCCAGGACACGAGGTTTCTGGGCTCTGAGTGCACATTGCTGGGCCACATTCAGTTTTTCACCCACAAGCACCCCCAAGTCCTTCTCCTGAGCAATCAGAGGCTTCAGGAGACCCTCTAGGACAATTTTAAATTGTTCAGACTCAATGCCCAATACTTCCACTAAATCAAGACAGCTTTTGCAGACTTAGAAAAACCCCATGTTTCCACAGCTATCAATATATACGGTCAGAGATTGTAAAATTAAGAGGGATGAAGAATAAAAGAACTAAATTGCTTATCACCTTCATGAATATATGAAGGCTATGGGAGATCTATGTAAGAAAAGCCCTAAGCKAAAATTAAAGACACCAAAAAACCTACACTGCCAACACAGAGAGGCAGAATCATGCAGAAATGCCATGGACATATGTAATGTTTTCAGCAAAATATGAATTTGAAATTCATAAAGGTGGGGAGATCTATCCTATTTAATATTACTTGAGAGTAACAGTTTCAGGCATCTGTACAGCTGATATAAAGACATCCTAGCCTGTTAGCTACCTAATCAATGCTCAAAAAGCAGCACTTGCCTGGAAATCCCTGAACTTTATGAGTCAAACCTGGGGAGAACATCAACAAAGAGAGAAAACGGGGCAAACAGAACTATTCCAGCCACTGCTGCTGAGAGCAAGTAATGCCAAAGAAAGCATCTGGACTGAAATGCTGTATCAAATCCAGCACACCACTGATTTTTGTGRTGCAAGTGGCATAGGCTTACAGCCTCCACCAATAAATTGAATGAATACTGGCAAAATGCAGAGATATGCCCCAGAGCATTATATTACCTGTCACAAATGAACAAAAATTCTGGCAGCAAAATCACCCACAGGAGCTGCAGCCTTTGGTGCAGGTGCCAGCCACGTGAACTGAAAGAATGTCTAAAATTGTGAATAYAATCTTACATTTGTCAATTTTGCTATTTATTTACTATGGTGGGAGATTTAAAATGCTACAGTTAAAGTTCAGCTCAGAACTGATACACAGCATCATGGCACAGACAGGTTGAACCTAAAAAACAAACCTGGTGCCCAGCTGATCCTTAGCAAACCCCTCCTGYCAGGTGGGTCTGTGCAAATCTGTCAGAACAGACCCGAGCTTTGTTTGCCAGCAAAGAGCAGCCATGGTAGCAAAGGCTGCTTTTGTCATTACTGAAAAATTTAAACATCAACTGAATCTTAAATACAGCTGAAAATCACTGGGCATGTTCAGCAGCTACCACTCATGAAAAGTAAACAGAATATGAATAACAAGATGTTTTGTGAGGGACAAAATAGTCCATATTTATTCTTTTCTATTGCTCTAGATGCAAAAAAAAAAAAAAAAATTAAAAAGTAATTGCACTTCAGGTACAGTATGGATTGCYATCAGCAGCACCTCTGCTCCAGCAGCTGCCCTCTGAGGTACCATCTTCAGACACAAATCCCTCATCAGTGTGAAGAGAGAGCTCCAGGAAAACCTAAACCAAGCAAACCAAAACAGGTGGCAGCTGCAGCCTAAGGACAGCAAACATACTGTGACAGCCCAGGTGTGGCAGAGCCAGCCCGGCCCAGGAGCAGCAGCTCTGCTGTGCAGAGGCTCCTCCCCTGCTGCTGAGGGAGGGCATTTTCCAGCTCTGCCAGGGGCACCCATACCTGCAGTGAAACCCTCGAGTCTGGCTGGGAAAAGCCTCTTTGTCCTGCAGTGCTGTCACCACCTGCTCTGGACACTGCAAACCTGAGCGGCAGCACTGGGAATGACCTTCCATGGTGGATTATTTCTGTTCTACCACTGCACAGGGTGTTCACGGTCTGTGCACAGGGAAACTTTAAACAACTGCATGCTTGTGCATGGATTTAATAGAATTAACCAACCTATTTTATCCACAATCTCACTTCATCTAGCATCTTGTTCCTCAGTTTATATCCCATTACCCACAGTCTTCAGGTTAAGCAGACAGATGCAAAYATTTTTAAAAACAACCAAAATGTCCTGGGTTTCATTCCAATGCAAAGTTGTTCAATTAGGCAAATCCTTGAAACTATTTCAGACTCAGCAGAATAAACACTTCCAATAGCCCACTTATCCTACTTACATTCCAACACAKCTCAGTCTGCAATCCATATTATTAATTGTACTTTTGTTACTATATCATTATTTCTCAGAAATTATTTATTTTTAGTGTTTTTATCCAACTAGCTGCATTTCTCCACAAGGTTTGCTACTCTGAATTCTAAAATTTCTGAGGAAGAATGACAGAGAGGAAGCTGAGATGAAAAGCATCCTACTTGCTTCTGATGCAAGCAAAAGTGATCCAAATCRGATTTAATTCCTGCCAATTCCAAGACAGGAAAATGCTGAGCTTGCCTAACAATGTGAGGGAAGCTGAGAGCAAGGGAGGCAGGAAGGTCTTAGAGCCAGCTTTCACTGCAGTCTCCTTCCTTTTGCTGGAGAATAAACTCAGGAACTTTTGTAAMAAAAGCTCCTTCTTAGTGCTTCTGCAAGGATCAAGTGTTTTATATAGCCCATGTAGAACCAAAACGCTTATCCACATCAGAACAACATTCTGGTTCCTTTGTTAATTGCACCAAAATCTGATCCAAAGCCTTATTTAGGTGCTGGAATTGAGTGTCATAGCTCATTAAAAAAGCTTTAATTTCAATTTCTACTGTGAAAACTTTTTAATAAGCAAATAGTCTGTTGAGGCTTTGTAAGCTCAGAGGAAGAGCTTTTTAGACCCATTTATTGATATTCCCAGGCCAGACTGAGGCTGGGTGCTCATCAATAAGACCAATGAAAACAAAATCCTAAGAACAGTTTTCTTTAATGATGAATGTATTTTTTTTCAGAAGATGGTGCCAACTCATCTGCTCCCTCTGMATCCTCTGTCACTTCTACAGCAAGGCACTCGCTATGGCAGCGGTTACCATTGGTTTTTTGGAATCTATCTGGACTGGAGGAACTGGTGTCTGTGTTAGGTTTCTAAGTCACCCCAAAGCTGCAGACTGGCCACACTTGACCAGAACCAACTGACTTTAGCCAGGTTTCCACATCTGGCCACAGGCTGTGTCCTCCTCCAGCTGTAATCTGAGATCACAGAGCAGCAGTGAGGACCTGACAAGCCATACCATGACTGCATATAACTATATAACAGAGGCTTGAAAAACTATTTTCCAAGGCCTATTAGCATGCTTTGCTGTACCTTACAACATTTCTGCATTTATTTTTGTTCTAGTTAAGCCAATTAATGATTGTCACAAAAGTTCACTTGCTATAAATGATGTGAGTTGTTTCAGTCCACAATTAAAATGTCCATGAGATTATGAATTCCACCTTCACGAAGGAATCTTGACACTGTGCAGAAAATGCAGGCTGAGGCTAGACACTGAATAACCAAGGGAAAAAGTAARATACTGAACAGTTCCTCAGTACTTGATGCCATCTTCACTTTGTACTGAACTGAACATGTGTCCTTAGGAATGGCAGCATAAACTTCAGGTTAAAGGCATAATGATTAAGGAGCCAGACTGGTGGAACCAGAGCCACACCAGGAACTTAATGYGCTATTGCCACCTTTTTACTTGKTTTTAAGAATTTAATTTTGATATTTGGCTATTTCTGTGTTACAATTTTCTGTGCAAAGTTTTTTCATTTTTCTTKTTTGTCCTGATTGAAAAAAAAAATYCTCTGAAGTTTCATCAGGTGGATTCCTGTCAATGCCCCTGGGGCTCATCTGCAGCATCAGGATAATTAGATAAGGCATATCTGCCTGCACTATTTGAGCTGAACAATGGCAGAGCAGCAGGAACTACCCTCCTGTGCTGGGTGGCAGTTATTGGRCTGTCAATGGCAAATTGTTACAGGACAGCTGGCCAAGGAAGAACATGCTGGCCAAAGAGGGAAGAAGAGATTCTGCAGTTTTCATTAAAAGGACACATTCATTCATTATCTTTCAATCTTTTCCATTTGCCTCCTCCCTCTCAGGAGTTGCGGGGCTTTTATCCTTCCTAATCTCTGCTAGGTCAGGAAGACCAGCATTGCTTGGACTTGTTAGCCTCAAACCCAGAAAATACCAGATGCCTSCCTCTAAATTCTAGCTGCAGCTTCAACTAAGAGAGAAGTCCAGCTCAGTTCCAGGCAGAAATGTGTCAGGAGATACACATAATTCAGGAAACAACCCCCCAAAATCTCTACTGCACATATTACACAGAGGCTTCCAGTTCTGAACGTACTTCCCACCCTTTGATTGTGGCTGTCAAGACTGCTTAATAAAGGCAGCCTCCACTTCCAAGGGCTGTGGCACCATGGGCCACATGCTAAACTTCCTTCACCCAGTAAGGGTAAGGAGCAGTGCTGGTAAAATTTGGTTTATAATTGAGTTTGGGTATTTGCATGTTATTTTTAATTTTGAACAAACATTCCAATGACAGTCTCTTGAGGGAAATTGCTACAACATGAATTAAATACAGGTCCTTTCTCACCCATTACTTGGCCATAAAATATTAACAAGGTGCCTGTGGAGCTTCTTCACACCCCTTATAAAAAACTCTGTAATATTAAACCTACATTGTTTGTTCTAGCTGTTGATTATTTTTCTTCTTCCTTGGAGGCTTCTTCTTCTTTGGCTTGTTGGCATTCTGGTTATTCTGTTTGTTGTTCACACCAAAGTGCCCTGCTGAGATATCACTCTGCAGAAGGTTAACCAAGAGCGGACTTGTGAGCGTCACATCTTTATTGACAGGAAACACAGGATTCTGCCCACAGGAAACCTGATTCCCATTGGGAGTTCCACTAAACCCTGTATTGAAAGGCAGCCCATGGCCAGAGAAATGACTCCCTGAAGCATTGTTGTTTCCTTGCATTCCTTGCATGTGAGAAGGCACCATGTTTGGCTGTTGGACAGGAACCTCAGGTAACATCTGTGTCAAGTTCACATCATTGTTTGTCGTGGTAGCAGTATCCCCAAGTTGCTGAGAGATGTGAGGACCAGGTCCAGTGGGTCTTAAAACTTGCCCTTGAATTCCCATCACCTGAGAAGGATTCCCATTCACGGGGCCTTGCTGTGCCATCATCTGCCCAGTGAACTGCACCATGTTTCCTTGCATGTTTGGGGTTGGTCCTCTCATCAWTTGAGCTGGCCCCGTCATAACATTGGACTGGTTTTGAGTATTAAAAGACTGTTTATTTCCTTGCATTTGAGTGGTCATCATCTGTTCCATCATAGAGTTTTGCTGTAGTAAGACCTGGCCCTGAGGTCCCATCATCTGATTGTGTGTGGACATCATCTGCTGCCCCTGYTGGGGAATCATCTGTTTGGGTGGGGTCATCCTTTGGGGAGAGGGACCAAGATTTTGGTTTTGTGGAGTCACCATCATTTGGCCTTGTGGCATGAGCTGAGTTCTAGAAAGTATCATCTGGTTTTGAGGGTTCAGCGATCCCTGAGCCTGAATGTTCACCATCTGTCCTTGRGAGGATACGATTTGCTGATGCATGCCCATAAGCTGGGACTGTGGTCCTTGCTGAGGCTGTCCCTGCATGTTGCCCATGTTAACCTGTGGCACCCCACTAGCACCGGCCTGCTGGTTGTTAATATTTCCATGAAGTCCCATTAGACTGGTCTGCATCATATTTGGTGGGCCATGTGCTGTTTGCATCTGAGTTTGAGGAGGTCCAGATCCTTGACCACCTTAAGAAAATAAAAACAAAATACCAATAAGAAACTAATTGTAGTGGTGTAAGAGTTTTCACACCTTTTGATGCTGAGTGCTCCAATTTTCCTCCCTTTTCCAATGAACTGGAGTATCTCATATTTGCAGKTCTGGGATGCAGTGTTTGATGCTATAGATACATGTTAGTTGTCAAAACAACATCATACATCTCAAAATAAACACTCAGATTGGTACTTCTCTTGTACTCACTACAGAAGACAGAACAGAAACTTAATTTTAATCATTACCTGTACCCAAGTTTGAAAATCTTCCATAATGTCACCTAACTCAGAAGAATAATTCCTAACCAAATAAGCTTATAAAATAACCCTGAAGTTATTTTATAACGGGTTAAAGAATAAATGCACACAGATTACTGATGAAATGACATTATCAGGGTATCTGTAATCCAGTCAAAAGACTAATAACTGAATTGCTAAATGGAAACATTTGTGAACTAAAGATTTCATTTTCACATTGTATGCAGAACTTACAAAACTTTTGAAGGAAGTAATGATAAATGTTTTCAAAGTAGAAAAAGATTGTTTTGCTATTCTGCTTCTGAGATAATTACACTTTTTTATTTTCTGGAGCAGTTCCTTTTGTGTTGTATCTTTATTGCCCCTCACCTCCAAATTTCARTGCTACATTCCATTCAATTTCTTAACAGCTATGTCTGGAGCCCAGACCCACAGTTCTCATCAATAATAGTTGGGTTATTTGAGAATCAGGAGCGGCCTTWTCCTTTTCTTTTCCTTATCCAGCACTGCACCCAGAGTGCYGCTGCAGCCCCAGCCAGCAGCTCCCTGTGAATGGCAAGAGTTTAATGGTTTGGGATCAGAGTGACACAGGAAAAGGCATCGTGTGCTACAAATGGAAAATAAMAAATGCTGAGGAACGGCCCACTGCAGTCAGACCTGTGTGCTGCACGTTCTGGCTGGCTTGCAGCTGCGGTGCTCCGCTGTTCCCTGGTGTTCCTGGAGCTGTGGAAGGCACCTGACCTTGCAGGAAGTTCTGGTTAGCCTGGCCTGCTGGGAACCCCAGTGGGAGCCGCTTGGGCATTCCTGAACATGAGAATTTTCTGATTAGTAAGTATGGAAAACAGGAAGGAAAAAATAGACTAAATCTATAATTGAAGAATATTATGTGCTGTCATACAGACACATTTAGGCAGAAAATGTTTTTTTGCCATATATTGGCAAAACCCACTGAAGACATTTAGACTTCTTACCTGTACAATAATTCTGTCTAACAAATTAYTATGACTAATTTCAAACTGTAATTTAAGTACAAAACCTACTGCCCAGAGAAGGTGAAGAGTCATGTTTCTCTCTTTAGAAACTAGAAATTAAAGTTATGTGGTTTGTTGGTTTCTGCTCTACTGCATCTCAGCTCCTATCAGGCCCTTAAGTGACAGAAACACAAATAACTGGCATTTTTGTTAGTGATGTGCTCCTCTCACCAACTCTGACAGTATCACACCAGGCACACACTCGTTATCAGTGCTGCTGGGTGCACACACATTTGAAGGGTCTTCTCATCCCAGAGAGGTCTGAGGAACCTCATGGTTCAGCACATCCAGACCCACTGCTCACTCACGTAACTCTGCTATTCCTGCTGCAAGACCAAGGAATTCTGTCAGGCCCTTAGCTGGCACAACCACCTGGCACATCCAAACAGCACTGCTGCCCTGGGACAGAGAAAAACCTCCCCTCTACCTGCSAATGTTAACAGCAGCATGGATGGATTTCAGGGAACCCATTTCTTTTTAACGCACTCTCAAACACACAAAGCCTCAGACTTAGAAGCAACCTTGCCCATCACTCCCTTTTATTTTCTGACACAGTGCCTGAATGTGACTTCCACAGTTACAGCTTTCTTGCACATCTAATTGTACTGCTTGTGCTWATTATCTGGTCTCAGGTTGTAATTAATATTTTAGCTTACAGGTCTACAGGTCAAACACCAAATACATCTGCAAACACAGAAATAGACTTCTTGAAACACCACATCACTGGACTCTGGTTTTAGTTCTGCWAAACGTTCAGGGAAGTTTTGCAGATAGGAATGCCTGAACCAAGAAGAAYAGAAAATGTTAGCTTGCCTTATTCCAAATCTAATATAAATTCTGATTTGCTAAATTGACTGTGAAATACAAAGTGTTTGAATGCACTCATTTACACAAAACTTTTGAATGCAAGGTCGCTTAAAAATTGAGAGATCTATAATGACAAATTAACATACAAATTGCAGCAAAGAATGAGTGTGAACAGAAATCAGGCAAAAATCTCAGCAGTGGGAGCAACACAGCTTTGCTGAAACCAAGGAATCCTGTCTTTTAAAATCAGATGAGGATACAGCTCACAGCAGGATTGCTGATTCTAGCAAAAACATCTACAATGAGACCAAATAATATTTTGATAGCTTATTTGTGGTGTTGTTTTAAACTCAAAAAAGTAGGGGTTTGTCTCTAGCAGTTTATTTAGGAAGGAAGGAGAACAYGGAGATTATACTAGATAAAAGTCATGGCTAAGATTTCTGATGGTGACATATGGCTAGTGAGACAAAACTATAGGGAAATGTAGCTATAACAAATAATGAATAACTGCTTCCAAATGGAGACAAAATAAGATGCACCAAGTGTAGGGCACTGGCAGATCCTAGGAGAACACTGAAATGGACCCAATTCATCTGAATTCAAATGAGACCCATGGTACAAACAATGAAAACAAGAAGCTTATCCAGATCAGAAACAGGAATTCCTTACAGTTTGTGGACATATAACATGAGAATGCAAGAAAMTGGAATATATTTATGTGTGTGTAGGTGGAAAAAGAAGATGGCCCATATTTTSTAAGTACATCAAAAAATTATTTCAAAGACTTAGTTTAAGCAAGAACTTGTGTATGGGACCTGAGATCAGCCATCCAAGAGGAAGACAAACAAATGAATGAAAGAAGAGAAGCATGACAAGTCTGCATGGAAATACAAAGGGTTCAAGGGGAAAAACACACCGAAGGACACAAAAGAGATCCTGGGACTGATAAARGAAATGTCTTCCTTGTTAGAGAAGAACTCTAAGAACAGTAAGGAAAAGATGTGAGTGCATTGGTCCAAAGAGAAAACTAAAGACAACACAGCCAAACGAGAAATTAGAACATCCCTTAAACCTCTCAATTTTAGGATAGAGGGCACAACAACATGGAGTAATAGCTCTTCCCTCTTTAAATGGAAGAAACTGGTGACAAAGACAGGGTCAAGAAGAAACATTCACAGTTTGGAAAGGAAGATGCAGAACAGTGCTTAACGGCTGTAGTAAAAAAAGTAAATGGTGACAGAGGAATCTGAAGAAAGAAAATGTTTGTTTTCATTACACTCTGTCTCAAAAAAATCCTCCCCTTTCCTCAACCCTAAACCTAAACACCCTCTGCCCCCATCTCTGAACGWCTTAAACTTGCTTAAAGGCAACAGAAGAGCTGTCAAGAGGATGACTGGCAATAACAACAGCAATGCACATAGCAACTCCTCCTTGCAGCAGCCCAGAGCCGCCCCTTGGGGCATCTCTGTGACACTGCAGGGCAGAGACAGAGTAAGGAACCAAGTGATGCTGATGCACATTCACCAATACCCACMTCATATTCCATCTCTGCCTTTATTCTCTCATAACGGATCTTCTCAGAACTAACAGCAACATTGGTTCTAGCCACTTCATGTTTCTTTTCATTTTAAAATAAAAGAAGGTCTCAGTACTTCTTACCTCCTAAACCAGGGTGTAAACCTTGTGGACCTTGGTTTTGCTGTTGCATCACCATGTAGTTGGGGGGTACATTCCCCTGTTGCACCATAGGATTATGACTAGGAGAACTGACAGGCTGCTGGAATCCCTGGGGAAGCGTGCTACTCTGGGGAGGCCTTGGTCCCAGCTGCTGCTGCGTCTGGTTAACGGTTGGAGATGAGGCAGGAGAACCCTGCTGGAAGGAGGAGGGAGAAGAAGCAGGAGACTTGTTGGTCAGGTGAGGTTGCTGTAGTGGCGTAGGAACCCGTGAGGGCCCTCCCTGAAGGCTTTTCATTTGAGGAGCAGTAAACTGGCCGGGATTGCTCATTTGGGGAAAGTTTGAGTGAGCCTGGGAAGCCTGCTGGCTTCCAAAAGGATATGGAGGTGGAGGATGAGTAGGAGTTTGTACTGTTGCTAGAGATGGTCTTGCTTGGAGCTGCTGCTGCATTTGTCCAGCCAACGGGGCCTTTTTCCAACCCTGGTTTACTGTCAATGTACCCAGTGCTCCCTGGGTTGGAGGAGGCTGAAGTGCTCCAGAAGGAAGCTGGTTCCAGCCAGGGGGAATTGGAACCTGTGCTGGTGAAGTGAATGAAGGTCGAATACCCTGCTGTGGCTGCTGATGTGGCTGGGGAGGCCGATTCTGCAACTGCTGCTGCTGCTGTAGCTGCTGAAAGTTGGCTGAATTCATCTGCCTGTTTACAGGAACTGACTGCATTGAATGGAGCTGAGGAGCTAAAGATCCAGATGGATGATTTTGCTGTTGGATATTTAGCCCAGATAAGAGTGGGTCCATTGCATCTATTAAAATAGCAAAGAAAAGTGAAAAAACAAATAACCTACTGYAGACAAAACACATCCCCAAACAAGAAAGGCTAAATTGCTAGCTTCCRTTTGATTACTCTGCATTGAAATTCATGCTTCAGAGAAGCCAGGTCTTAACAATTTATACCCTCTAAAATAAAGCACAATAGCTCCACAGTGCTACAGACTAATGTGAGCCTTCTCTACACTTAGAATCATGGAGTATCTCAGCTGGAAGGACCATTGAGTCCAAACGCCTGCTCCTGGCAGGACCACCTAAAATCAAACCACAGGACTATGAGCATCATCCAGGCACTCCCTGAACTCTGTCAGGCTTGGTGCCATGGCCATGACCATGGCCTGGGGAGCCTGTGAAGAATAAACCCTAAACATCCACATCTGCCAGACCCCCCAATCCTTAAACTTCCAGTTATCCACCCTTCCTGCAAAGCGGGAAAATAAGAGCACAGAAACATTCCTGCCACACTGAATTAATCCCTCTCCTRCCTTCAGCTAAACACAAAGCTCAGTCACAACAGTTCAACTGYAAAAATACCACTGCCACTGCTCAACACGTTTGAACAAAATACCGGCAAGCTGGTGACCTATCAGGCAACCAAATTATTTGAAAAAGAATTWACAGATTAAAGGGGCAGGGAGGTTTTCACAGAACGAGTAGCTCCCAGAAGGGCAGGGAAAATGCTCCAGGACAGTTCTGGAGTACTCTCATGAGTACGCACTCAAGTCTATGCGCTGAAGAATCAAAATTCAAGAACACTTTCAGATCAGAACTATGACTAAATTTTACCACCTGGCTGTGAGGAAGGCCGAGGYGCTCGTGGCTGCAGCTCAGCACTAGCACCACTTGCCACCACAGAGGAGGGCACATTTCCACTCTGGGACATCATGATAGCTGCAGCATTGCTCATTCTTATGAAACCTTAAAAAATAAAAACAGAAATTATAAAGTCTTGCAGTTTTTACGTACAGAAGTATTAWTTTTTTTTTTATTTATCAAGAAAATGTTACATTTGTCAATAAAACATTTCTCTAGACGTCAAGAATCGTTTGTCCAAAATAACCTGAGGACACACCTCTCTGTCGGAAAGCTCAGATTCTCTGGTATAAAACAAACAAATAAATTTAGGTCATGCTGTAGCTCTTTCTTTGGCACCAAATTTTTTAAGAGAGTGTAAAAGAAACACTACTGACTCACGAATTAATGTGAGCCTGACTTGCCCCTGCAGGTACCAAGTGACAAGATTGTATCAAAGCTGGACATGTAACTCAGGTTTTACTAGAAAGTAACTGTTGCAAGAGGTAAAAATTCAATGTTTCACATCCATAGACTGCAGTTYTATAAAATTATTGTTGCCCTATTGGTTATATTGCTGTTATATTGTTGACCTGAAGACAAGAAATGAAGGTGCTGAACAACACAATGGAGAATAGGGCCATTCTTTAAACGTTTTACATTTTTTGTTAAGGACAAAGGTTTCACTACTGTTTAATCAGGTTTCTACAAAGCTGCAATGTTCTTTCCGTTTCTTCTCATCAACAGACACAAATGCATCTTAGATAAACTGACCAAAAGTGCTCCTGGTTTAATTGCTTTAAATCCTATTTACTAAAATATTACTTATTTATTTTGCTTTATGATTTGGCTGCTTTAATAAATTACATAGTAGCTTTCTTTGTAAAAAGTCTTTGTAAAATACGAATTTTGTAGTTAAAAATTCCTTATGTATATACAATGCTCTAAAATATAGTTTAATAAAATTACACCTCTCCACAAAAATTCCTTCTTCATGATCAGATCTCAAAAGGTTATCAAAACATAAAGAGTAACAATGACAGTGTCCTGTCCTGCCCATAATTCTAATGGATTTAATCTGTCAGTTTATTGCACACTGAATAAAGGCTTATGCATATTTCCGTAAAGGGATCCAAACAGAACACTATGAAAATCTGCGCATATTTCAAAGTGAATTCACTACACTCATCTGCTTTAATAGGCTTTATGTAAAAAAAACCAAAAAAAACCAAACCAACCAACTAACCAACAAAACCCGAAACCACCACACCCTCAAAATATTCCAAAACAAATCAATTGGCCCCATAAAAATCACTCCAATGTTTGTGGGACACAACGCAGCCAATAATTTATTTACGTAACATAGGACATGGTTTGACAGCACAGAACAAGAACAGACATTAATTCAAATGGCAATTAGAATTCTGCAAACAACAGTGGCTGTAGCCAGTRGAGTTCCATTAGTCCAGTAACACATTTTTAACTGTCTGAAGTGCACAAAGTAGCCCTGAGGGGAATTACCTTGACCCCCCTGCATGGGGAATCCTGTGTCCATGCGCACGGCGTTGCTGGCTCCCAGGGGCCCGTTGATCCGCACATCCTGGCTCCTGCTCTGGGCTAAAGCCAAGTTGATAGCACCTTCCCCTAAAGCAGTGCACAGATTGGGTGAACAGAAGGGACAGAAAGGAGAACACAGACATTTACAAAAGGACATTGAAGAGATGCCAAGGAAGAACAGGCTTCACCCACCTCCACTGTGCACTTTAGAAGGACACTTACACATCACACCACCTTTCCAGATTCCAGTTTTAAGAGAAACAAATGCCATGACAAGCATTACACACCCTTGGTTTTATCCTGAGGGAGCTCCTGGACAATTGCCCAGAATGGATATTATAACTGTGAAATCCACTGAAAACTTGYCTTAAAGAAAGCCTCAAATGAAACAACAGGGATAGAAAATCAATACATGTAGAAAACAATTTTTCAGGAGGGTTCCTGATGCCCAGAGCATTTTCAGCTTCCATTTTTATTATTAGTAAATTTTATTCTTGAAAGAATAAAAGTCTTGTGCTACCTTTTTCATTAAWGCCAAAGTAGTAACTTAAATGTTTTGTGACATTAAGCAAATACACAAAAAGGCTTTTTGAGTCTACTTGAACCTGAGCTTTGGAAGCAGATTCAGTGTGAAATACCTTCWATCTGAACTGAGAGAATGCCCAGGTCTCGGAGCTGTTGGTTGTTGTTCTGAGCCAGGATTCGGAGCCGCTCAGCAGCTTCCCGGGGGATGTTGAAGGTCACACGAACACTGTTCCAAGGTTCTATCTTCTGCACTTTTAACTTGCTGGATTCTTAACATAAAAACAATCAGTCAGTGCAAAAGCAGTTTTTAAACAAATATGATGAAACAACCTGGTTAAAAAGTTGAAAAAAAAATGTAACAATACTTGATTTTGAAAATTGCCAGTGCTTAGTCCCAGGTACAGGAGACTTTTCCCAACACAGGTGTACAGCGACCAAACCTGCCAAATCACATCAGGGATTTTCCAAAAAATAAGCAGAAAAAAACCCCTACTCAAATGATAAACAGTGCAATAGACAACAAAATCACTTGACAGTATTACTGAAGCATAGAAATATTCTGTGGATAAACTACTTTGGAAAGATGAGAAAATACCTAATAAAACAGGTTTCATACAATTATAGGCATTAGGTTTGGGTTGGAAGGGACCTTCCTGCCATGGGCAGGGACACCTTCCACTATCCCAGGGTGCTCCAAGCCCCGTCCAACCTGGTCTTGGACACTTCCAGGGATGGGGAAGCCACAGCTTCTCTGGGCAACCTATGCCAGGGCCTCACTTTACTTACAGGGAAGAATTTCTTCCCAATATCCCATATAAAATCCAGACTCCTTCAGCTTAAGGCCATTCCTCCTTGTCCTGTCCCTTCATCCCCTGTCMAAAATCCCTCTTAGCTCTCTTGGAGCCCCTTTCACATCATCTAAGGTCCCCCCGGACCCTTCTCTTCTCCAGCCTGAACATCCCCAGCTCTCCCAGCCTGGCTCCATAGTAGAGGGGCTCCCACTTTGGGATAAAGAAAAGTTATTTGTGAATCAGATGAATGTGTGGAAAAACTGACTACAGGAATTAAATTCTTGAGATATTTCCTCTACAAATGCTTGTGAAACCATCTGTTGTTTTTGTGGGTTTTTTTTTGTTTTTTTTGGTTTTTTTTTTTACAGGGCCAGTGCCAACAAGAGTCCTAGCAATATTTCATTGATCTCTACTTCATTATTTAGTTTTCTTAGTAAGTATGTCAAATCCACTGCCAAAAAGCATGTCAAATTCATGCAAAATATTTACCTAAAGGTTTTCTGAAAGCCTATTCTACATAYGAGTGTTTCTACATAGATTAGTTTTCAAAGTAACAGCAAAAAGGTTGGGTACTTATTTTGGATATATTATCCAAAGTGATACCTACCTAAATGACTGCTACAAAATGCAGTTAAGGCCAATTTAAAAAGCAATCCTGATACAACTTCATAAGTTTCCAATTTCTACWTTTCTGTGAAGAAAGTTCCTCTCAAAACAGAAAGCATTGACCCAAATTTTCATCAGCCAGCTCCTCCACTGTAACCTCAGTTTGCTAAATGTTTGCTAACTTTTGGATTCTGCAAAACATGTCACTTAAAGATGCCAACATCTCATTCCTATTTAGGAATCTTTTTTTCACCAGTAACTCACCCAGCACCTCCTGCTCCTACAGTAATGGAATTATTAAATCCATCCTCATTTCTGCCTATAAATCTGCTTTTAGCTGGAAATATGGCAGGAGGAGTTTTTAAATCCCCTTTTGTGGAGGTTTGAACAGTCCCATATTTTCTGTTACAAATGGTCCAGTGTTTTACATAGAACATTGCATTATCAGTTTCAGTATTTCTATGTATTTGTTACCCAAGTTTCTCGTTTTTCACTGCATCTACCCAAGATTACCCCATGTTATTTACTAACTTCACACTTGGAGTATCTTATTTTGYTCTGACTCAGTGAAAATAACTTCTCACATGGATAATTTTAAATTTCATTTGATATTGATTTTAAAAATTTGCTTTCTCAGCTGAGGTCTGACTCATGTTTATTAATCTTGGTTTTAATATTTGTAGCAGACACAGCATACAGATGCTTCTATATAACAAATATGACTCTGCAGCTATAAACTGAATCTATTTCCATTTGAAAAGTACACAATTCATCTGTGGTATTACACATATCCCTTCACACCGCTAAACTATCTGTTGGTTTACATCTATGTCCAACTGTTTGTACGATACAGCTCAAAACTGTGATATTTCTTCATATATTTTTGTCCTTACTGAGCTTTTTTATCTCCCCRAGCAACAAACAGCAAGGACCCACAAACTGACGCCAGTGCCAGCTGACTACATGGACAAAATAGAAAGAAAGGAATAAAGTGACAAAGAACATCAGTTTGATCATTCAGAAGTAATGTGTTATTTTTCTCAAAAGGTTAAAGAAAACACTCTTAAAGGAAACAATTGGGGCTACCAAACTAGCATAAGGCCTTTTGCAAGGATGCTCAGTGGACAAATGTCRTTTTCCAGATCTAGACATGCTGGTAAAAGATGTCCAAAAAAGCTGTCATCACTCCCTTGCCATGTAGCTGTCCCCAGAGCTGGGTGGGCATTCAAGGGTATGTGAGGGTACTCCCCATACCCCAACACAACTCAATCAATCAATCAATCAATCAATCAATCAATCAATCAATCAATCAATCAGGTAGGGTAGGTCAGCAGAAAGGCGGTAACATCACAGGTACTTGAGAGTGAACACATTCTCAGATAAACTGCAGTAGTTTAACTTGGATTGTTTGGGCAGTAAAACATATCTCCTTCGTGGACAAKCCTGGTTTCACTTTCATGTAACACAGTTATGTGTAAAGGGGGRCATGAAAGAGAAAAAATCCAGTTAAAATGTGGGAACTGAAGAGGAATGAATGAACTTGCTAAATAAATCYGTTTTAAACAACAAAACAACTGCAGACACTTTGAGCTGGCATTTCTGAGAAGAACAGCTTGCAAATTCACTAAGAATAACCCCAATAAATACCATTCCAAACTAAGTAGTTCAAACCCAATATAATCTATTTTTTGTGCAAGTACCCTGACTACCTAAATAAGCATTTGAAGGACACCTGAAAAATTATAAGGTACATTACCCATGTGTAAAAGGCCAGGCACATTCTCCAGTATGGTATCCAGYTTCTGCTCAAAGTCTCTGTCACTTATATTTCCTTTAAAAGCTACAAAGATCGTGGAATCCCCAGGAGCAGCCTCCTGTTTCAGTTCATCTTCCTCCAGCCCTGAATCAAAATCCACCTCTAAGTCTTCCATAGCTGAGGAGTACAAGGAGGCACATGTATCTTTTAAGTTAGGGAGATCATCCAAAACCATTGTTTCCAACAATGGGAGCCTGTCAGACGTCAAGATGATGCTTTGAAGGAAAAAAAAAAAAGAATTATAATAATTGTGTAAAGACATCAACAACTGCTTTCAGTGGCATATTTGGTCATTGACAGAAAAACCTACCTGGTGACCCAGTGCTGGGCTCTGTGAGACCAACTGTGTGAGGCTGAAAATGGTGGCCATGGCAGTGTCCAAGCTGTTCCTCCACAAAGACAAACAGAAGGGGTTTCCTGACAGAATTGTGCTGCATGGGACTTCAGAAGTATTCCAGTTGTTCTAAAAGATAGATGGGTAGAATGGAAGGCAGGGAATAAAAAATCAGAGGAAAATTAGTTACACTCATCCCCATATCATAGAGGGGGCAAGCAAGCACCTGGTACCAATGCTGCAGTGCCTTACAGCCAGGAAATTATAAAGCTCACAGCAACAGCTGAATTACAGAATGACAGGAAGAACCACCACATTTGGTTTTAGAGACAGCAGACGGAGTAGGCGCAAAGCAGTAGGAAAGCCACAGCACATTTTTACCATGARAAATGTAGCATTTGACAAATATTTYACTCACACCCAGGGAAATCTCAGGCATACTATGGCTACTTTAAACGTTTGTAAAGATTTAGCTGTTTTCAGCTACTTAGGCACATAACAACSTGAAATCTGCTCCCCRTGTCACAGCCCACAGCTCTCCCCAKGCCCCCACATCATGCTCAGATAAGAAKGAATTCACCGAGTCAAGTCCCACACCTGATGAATTTTGCTTAATAAAATGTCTAAACTTTGAAATAAATTTTGACATTATAACACATTTATCTAAGTTGCTACAGAATACAATTTGTCATAAAATTTTCCCTAAACCTACAGTGGATCTCACCAATGTTAAGATACAGATTTTCCAATTCCATCATGAGGGCAATGGCACCACCCTTTCCAGGTGAGACATCCGTTCTAACACKCAGCACTTTACAAATATTGCTAAGAGATTCAAACCACCTGTACAAACAGCCAAAARAGGAACCTGTTCCAGAGCACCACTGTGAAAACCAAATCCTTTCACCAGCCAGGAGACTGGTGTCGAGACCCAGTAACCCCAAAGCTGTGGGTATTTGGCACAATCCACCCAGAAGGTTTAGCTCAGGACAATGTACCCTTGAACAGGATACAGACTGGGGTTTTGGCAGAGGTTCAAGTTCCCAACACAAATTAAAACCAGCATTACAAAGGAAAAATCAGGGACTTGGAAGTCACAAAAYCCCCCTCAGCTTTTGGTCAGATCTCTATACATACATTCACTAGATTTATAAAATAGAGGTTTTTTTCTCCCTTGCAACCCTACCCCACACCAGGCAATCCAATGGCACAAAGGAATAATCTCCTATTTTATATGGAGTTACTTTCTCATCCTGCAGCACCAGACTTCATTCTCAAATTTCAGATTAAAAATTGAGTTAATTTTGTCCCACAAATTCTTCTGTAGTCCTGCATCCGAAAATCAATTAAATGTTTCACAGGCACTGACCTATTATATAGTGCTTTCGTATTCTTATCATTCCTGTGGAAATTTTAAAGATGGGCAATAGAGACATAAATTTTAAAAATTCATTACCAGGTGAACACAAAGACAAATCTTCTTTCTCCCCCCAGACTCCTTGCTGCTTGGCTCTGTATCTAAATTACAGCTCTGAGGGGCTGGCACCTCCATTTAAGTCAAACTTTTCAGTTTCATCTCAGATGCCCAGCAAATGAGAATCACAATTAATAGAAATCTCTGAAAACATATTTTAACTGATTTTCACAACATTTMTTGGAGAGGGAAGGTCCTTACCCAAGCTGGCTTTACACCAATAGGAGAACACTCTTTCTCTTTCTGCATTCCTACATCTTTCATTCCACATTCACTGACTCCAGGGAGAGAGGAGCTGAGAGTCCTACACRAATGGCCTTTCTAATGACCAAGCACAGCCGTTCTGTGCAAGGAATGAGGCAAGCATCCTGTGAATTATATGCACTATATTTTGAGGAAAATTACATAGAACATTATTTGTCTGAAAATCTTGAGTAAATTTTTTAGGGAAAGAAATCTCACCTCAAAAGACAGGCACTASCATGTTAAAAAAGTGCAATTACATGAAGGTGATGGGGTGTTGCACCTGCAGCAAGAAACATGAGTACACCTGACAATCCCTATCACCAAAGAAATAAGAATTTATCTACAAGAAGATGAACATTTCAAATCTTTTTTGCATGGAAGTGTCTGAAGCCTCCATCTTCCCTATGAAAGAGCAGAAGACTCCCAGACTGCTGAAATCATGGTTTTTAAACAATTCATGCAAATATTACATCTTATGTTAAATTTCATCAACCTCACCTGAATGTGCCAAAATCTGACTGGACTTGTTATGGCACTTTGTAAACACTATTAAAGTCAAGCTTGCTAAATCCCAAAGGACCACAGGCCTTGCTTCCCTTGACTCAGAGATCACAGGACTGCAGGAATATTGTGAGTGAAGAAAACAAACCAAGACCGGGCTTTACATTTTACCTCCTGGATCAGCACATGTAGCTACAGATCCCTTGGCATTTTTTCTTCACCTCATGCTCCTCAAAGGAGCTCTGCTACATCCATCTGCCCTCCCTCTCTCTCAAACACATGGAATTTAGTCCATCCCTATACTCAGGGATCATTTATCTCAAGTATGACAGGAGAAAGTGATGATGTGCAGAATTTTCCTCTTCAGGCAGCGCATAGCACACCATCGATGTCACAGCAAATGAATCCCAGCTGCACAGCATCCTAACAACTTTTGTAATCTCATGGTTATAGGGTTGGCTTCCTTAAATCCTGASCAAGCACATGGTTTTAATGAGCAGGTACCTTCCCTGAACACTCTTCCACACAAACACAGAAAGTCTTCAGCAAAAGCACAAGCAGGTAAAACACCAGTTATTCAACATCCCTGTGAACCAGAACTTCCAGCAAACTACAGAGGGCCTCTGGTGAGTAAGAACCACACCTGACCCAATCTGCACAACCACTACACACTTCAGGAACTCAAGCACCCATGCTCACTTGGCAGCACAAAAAGGTCTCTGACCATCATCCTCCYTTCAAAAGCACACACAGCCTCCTTCCTGTCCCTGCACCTGCTCCTTTAGTTTCCAAATTTGTATTTTCCATTATACAATTGTTTCTGGAAACTATRTGTGCTATCACATGGCAACCATTTACTCTCAAACCTGGCCTGGAACTGGCTACAGCARCAAAACCAATGTTACACCTCTTTATTATAAAGTTGGTCTTATTCAGTACAGTCTAATAATTAAAAATACCTACCTGAAGTAAGAGAGCTGGGGATAARGAGCCAAATAACAGATGGTCAAAATGCACCTCTGCATTGTTATATGGGTATGGGGGGTTGCAGGGGATAGCCCATGAAGACCACAGTGTCCAACCTGAAGGATGCAGGGCACACCCTGGGCTGCTGGAGCCTGCAGCTCAGCATATGCATAAAACAATTGACCCACTAAAATGTGCAAAACAGAGACTTTTCAGTGGATGAATTCTCACAGGATACAGGATGCCATAGTTGAGACCTGGGCTGCTGGACAGCTGGRTCCCACACCACAGGGAGCCCCCCAAGGCATTTTGTCATGCCCTGTGCTGTCCCCACCAGCAGCCTGACAGCAACAGGCAGCCTGCACAACAAATCCAGCACCACATGCCTGGGCAAAGCTTGGAAAATCCCATCCAGTCCCCTGGAGAGACTGGATTAGAGCAAAATCTGAAACAGGCAGTTGTCACCAGGGGAGCAGCTGAACATGGGAAAGCTGGCAGGCTCTGGAGTACCTGCAAGTGGTCTCTGGGGTGAAAGAAAACACAAAGGAAAAAAAAAACAACTGATATCTTGGCATTCTTATCCCAAGATTCACTCAACTGCTTCAAACTTTTGTCAATTTGTCTCTTAAATAGAACTTGAAATTCCTTGCCTTACTTTCTCCTCTGTTGCACTATACAGAGCAATACAAACCAAAACAAGACTTTGTCTGGTCACCTGTYCCAGGTTTGCTGTCACAGACTATTGATTTACAAGCTGTTTATATATATTCTAAATAAATATTTTCACAGCTGATATCACACCAGAACATGCACTCTCCCAAACCAAACAAAAAGTACTAAAATCCTACTCTACATCTCAAAAAGTACTCTTGTGAATTACAGAAGAGATTGGAAAGGGTGAGAGCAAAAAAAGGATGGATTGAGTCCCTTCAGTAGCAGATGGCACAAGCTGGCACTAAGCAGGGTCCTCATCCTCACACTGACCATTATTTAAAGCTGCAACAGGGAAGAGAAAGAAAGAARGTGTCAAATCCCTTGGGGAAATCAGAACTGAAAGTGAGGAGGAAAAGTCTGGGATAGTAATAGCAACATAATTTCTAAAGGATAGAAACTGCTTTTGCTCTCACTGAAAAATAGTTTTCAAGCAACTTACTAACAAAAAAAAATGGAAAAAACCACTTGAATATTTTCTGCTTCCTTGGTTTTAGCTGCCAGTGAGAAAAATGTGAAGAGATTTTTATRATGGGGGCAGAGGAGATTCAGCATGGCCAGAACACTGCTTAGAGGATGCTGTCTTTTAACCTGTAACAAGCACTCAGACGCAGTCACACTGGCTACATTTGAAGTGTATCACCTCAAAACCCCAGAAACACTGGTCACAATACTGTCTCTACTGGACATTTGTTAACTGTATATTATCCTTCTACAACTGTTTCATTTGTTGCCCAGCATAGTGACCTTAAGGCTTGTTAAACCTGCACACCCACAACCATTCTATGATACAAAGATTAAAATAACATCATTATTTGGGGCAAAAATAAAATCGTTTTCAAAAATACTTATAAACAAATTCTATGCAAGGGTCATATAACACAAGGAAATTAAACACGGCTAAGAATCACTGTTATAATATGAGAGAATACCTAAAAATGAACTTAAACATGCACTACAATTTCCACTAAAACAACTTAACCAGGGGTGTTTCCAGTAATTTCAAATTTCAAATGCTGGTGTTAGATGGATGACACCACTAAAGCATTTCAACTGCTCTCCTTGGGAGGAAGGTCTGGGAACAGCCAAAACCTGATGGCAAATACCCCTAACAGAGCAGGAAGTCAGCTCTGGAGG